AGCTAGGCTTACTCGTAGTTAGGGCGGGATATAATATTTATACTTTTAGTAAAAGATAATACCGAGTACTAGGACGGTAAATACCAATCTGTTAATATCGTAATAATTAAACTCGGCTTAAAAATATAAATTAGGATTAATATTTATGATATATATTTTCTGTCTAGGGTAATAATAGTACTTACTATATTATAGGGGTAGGTATAGGGACGGGACGGGACGGGTAAAGCGTAGCGCCCTCTTTTTATAAATATAAATTTAATAATATAAGTTTAAGTAATCTAGGTAGGTACGAAGTACGGGCGCGAAGTATAAGTATAAAGTATAAGAAAGTACGGGTCGCCCGTAATATCGTATCAAAATAGTAACTAAGGAATAAGTAAATCGATTATACGCTAGGCGTAATAGTCGAGAGGAATTAAGAATATAAGCATAATAAGATATACATAATAACTAATAAATCGTAATTATAAAATAGTCGTAATTATAAAATAGTTATAATAAAAAATAGAACGGATACGGGCGCGCGCGTAAATATTCGCTATAAAATAAAAAAAAAAATAGGCTAGTTAAAAATAGAAAGAAAATAGAAGTTAGAAAAGAAAAGGGGAAATATATAGGCAACCGTAAGAAAAAAGGTACTTATAAATAAAAAGAGATTAGTAAGGCGGGCAGGGCAAGTAGTAACGTACCTAACTAAAAGTATTAAGTAATATATAATATTAAAAGCTACCTAATTTCATACCTTCTTAAATAAGTAAAAATAAAAAAGGTTTAATTAATATCAGCTTACGTAAGCAAAAAAAAATTCGTTTACAAAATCTTATAATAAGTAACTTAGTTAAGCAGTATAAGTTAATTATATTTTAAGAAATAATAATATATCCTAAATAATAAATAGCATTTAAATCTTTTAATAACTATAAATTATAAAGTATCTATATATATAATTAATATCAAGTTAATATAAGTATTTATTACGTATATTTATACACTTCTAATATTTAAAGTTATATATCTTAAAAAAAGGTATTTATACGCTACTTACTTTAACTTTTTATAGCTATAAATTAAGATAGGAAACTTTTTATAGTTATAAATCTTAAGAAAAGTAGCTCTTACGCCTCTAAATTTTTATAACTATAAATCTTTAGATAAAAGAGCTATACGGCCGCTTATTATTAATTTTTTATAGCTATAAATCTTAATAAGTATAAGCTCGCGAGCCTCTGACTTTTTATAGCCGTAAAACTTAATAGCGAGCTATATAGTCGCTCGCCGTTAATTCTTTATAACTATAAATCTCGCTAGTAGGTCGTATGCTAGCCGATCGCTCGCTACTAATTTTTTATAACTATAAATCTCGAGATAAGAGAGCTATACGCTTATTAGTCGCTTACCGTTAATTTTTTATAGCTATAAATCTTAATAGCGAGCTATATAGTCGCTTATTATTAATTTTTTATAGCTATAAATCTTAATAGCGAGCTATATAGTTGCTCGTAATTAATTTTTTATAGCTATAATTTCCGGGCGGGGGGGTTTGGTAGTAGTATACGCTGTAGATTTTTTATAGCTATAAATCCTGCCTACTGCCCGCGATTTTTTATAATTATAAAAAATCGTACTGCTGCTGCCCGCGCGCCCGCGCCCTAGTAAGTAAGAAAAAAGAATTTAAAAACCCCTAAGTACGTACTTTAACAGAGTACGACGTTTACGCTTACCTAAGATTATATATACTTAGGCTCTTTTTATAATTATATTATTACGTTTATAATAATAAGGATATTTTAAATAGGGCTTATTTAATATACTATTTTATAGTGTTTTTTATACGAAGCTTATTACTTATTTTTATAGTAATAATCTAGTTTACTATTTAGGTACTCGTAGACTTTTTTTTAATCGGTTTATAGTTATAAAAAAGAGGCTTTTTATATTCTTATTAACTTAGACGTATTACCGGCCGCTTAGTAAGTTATTAAACGAGCTCCTTATATTAATACTATTTTTAGTTTCGATTTTTAATTATTATTTTTATTATTTTATAAAAGTAGGTTATTATTAGGCTTATAGGGTTTATTAAACTAGCTATCTTAGTACTATTTACGCTTTTATATATACTTTAACCTCGTACGTTTAGTAATTAGTTATTAATAAATATCCCGTTTATAATAAATAGGGTCCTCGGGGTATTAACGGGGTAACTAGCCCGTAAGGGTAATCTACCCTAATTATCTTCTTTATTTAGCTTTTTTATAAATACTAGTATTTAAGTAGGACTTACCCTATAGTAAGCTCGTTTTTTTAAATAAAATAGGGTTAAGTAGTTAACTTTAAATAGTTATAGCTCGTTAGTATTAACGGCTTTTTATTAATAACTAAGCGTCGTTTTATTAACGTTCCGTTCGTTTTTATAATCTATTATTACTTATACTAGTTATTTTATAGAAGTAAAAGCTTTAGAATTATAAGAGATTAGGTTATAAGTACTTAACTAGCGAGGTTATAATATAAGTATAAGTATATTATAAAACTAAAGCTTATAAAGTCTTTTATAAGAGCTCTACTTCTTAAGAAGTTCTTTTATAATACGAACCGTATACTAGTTGCTAAGTTATCGGCATCCTATTACTAGCCGTATTCCGAATTTATTATAAAGTCGTACGCTAACTAATTACTTATTACTAATTTTTTATAATTATAAATCTTAATAATAAGCTATATATTAACTAATCGCTCGCTATTAATTTTTTATAACTATAAATCTTAAAATAAGAGAGCTATATACTTACTAATTACTTACTAATCGCTTATTATTAATTTTTTATAATTATAAATCTTAATAGCGAACTATATAATTACTTATTATTAATTTATTATAATTATAAATCTTAATAGCGAACTATATAGTTACTTATTATTAATTTATTATAATTATAAATCTTAATAGCGAGCTATACGGTCGCTTATAGTTAATTTTTTATAACTATAAATTCTAAGTAGGGGGGTTCGGTAATTACGTATATTATAAATTTTTTATAATTATAAATCCTACTTACTACCTATAATTTTTTATACTTATAAAAAATCGTATTATTATTATACTTATACTTACGTACCCCCGCACGCCTATATACTCGTACGCCCGCACCTTAATAAATAAAAAAAAAAAACTTAAAAACCCCTAAGTACGTATTTTAATAAAATACGTCGTTTATGCTTACCTAAGACTATATATACCTAGAGTATTAACTAGTCTTTTTATATAATAACTAGTTTTTTAATATTATATCTTTTTTTAAATAAAAAAGGTCCGTATAGCCTTAATATATAACTAATAAAAACCCGCGCTTTAATTAGAACTAATTAAAATCCTAAAAATCGTATATATTAAAATTAGGTTAAAGAAAGTATAATTAAGTATAATAATAATACTACGCGCGTTTATAATAAAGTTAAAAAGGGGTTAAAAAATAAGCTCCTAGTATATTAAAAACTTATAAGGCCTTTTTAAGGCCTTATAAATAGTATACTTATATTTAATTATAAAACTATTATGGGCGAGAAGTAGTAGTTTTAAGTATAAGAAGTAATATTAGGGGTAGGTTATAGGCCCGGGTAAGACACTTCTAGTAAGTACCTCGCTCGGGTAATGCGTATAAGAAGTATTTAGCCCTTAGTTATAAATATACTATTATCGCTAACGTATTAATTAAAAAACTAAATATAGCTCTTAAGGCTAGAGTTACTATTATTATTAATAGCTCTATAAGTAATATTATTTAGAATACCATTACCGCGGCAGGACGGCTACTAGCTAAAGTTATTAACTTTATATATAACTAATAAACGACGGCCTTTATATTTAGGAATATTAAAAAAAGTAGTAAATTCGTTATTATTAGTATTATAAGAGGGAGTGCCCGCGTGCTTATAGTTCTATTTATTTTTATTTCTAAATTACTTTTTAAAAATATAGTTAGTATTATTAAGTACCTCCGTAAGGTTACCGAGATTACTTAGTTTAGCTAGTTAAAACCGATCTTTATTATAAATATACTTTAGGAATAAGCTAATAAGGCTATATAGCTCCTCGGCGCGGGTAAAGTTATAAAAAGACTAGTCTTAGTTTACTAATAGTTAAAATAGAAATATAATTAGTAATAATAAATATATAAATAGAATTTATAGAATTAAGTACTACTTATTAGACTTTATTAGCTTAGGATAACTTATTTAATAAATATACTCGTGCTTTTAGGACGTTACTATCTCGTATTAAACCTTATAGCTATTATTATAAAGTATTAGTACTAGGGAACGTCGTAATTAGGTCGAGCTATTATTAGCGCTTAGTATTAATAACGTATATAACTATAAGTTAAGAGTTAAGATAATAAAAAGCTAGTATTGTATATAGCTAGTAATAGTATAAGACTTAAGAAGACCTAAAGGGAGGGAGAGGAGAAGTAAGATAATAATAATAATATAAAAAAGTAAGGCAAGGCGTAGTTAATACTAGTTAATATTTATAAGGTTCTAATATTATATTTTCTAGACTTTTTCTTAAGTTACTTACCTTTTTATATTATCGCTATTTCTCCTTTTTTTAGTATTATTAGTTTTAAAATAGTCTCCCTTTTCTTATACCCCCTATGCTATGTTTTTTTAAAAATATAATATTAGTATAATACGTGCTTCTCACCGTCTTTAACCTAACGTACTTCGATCCTGTGGCTAGAATTCCCCTATTAACACGGTGTATCGTTCTAGGCGACCTAATATTCGGTGAGTCCTTCGATGCAGTTAGTTAAGGAAAGACTAACGCCTGGGTCTCTATCATTATCGACGGCGGTTACTTTAACATGCTCAGTAGTCTCCGTAGGCGGCTTCCCCTCGTGAACCTTATCCTCCCATTCATGCTCCCTAAGGACTCCGCCACTAAGTACGTAATGCACAACAGATTAACCGGGGAGAAACTCGATTAGCGGCTTGAAATGGGCGACTCGGCACATCGCGACCATTTCTTCTCCTATATCCTGCGCAAAGGTGGCAACGAGGTTCCCAGAGCAGAGCTCGTGAACCAATCTAGCACGCTGATCGTGGGCGGCTCAGAGACGACGGTAACATGCTTGCTTGCTCTGGCTTACTACCTGCTCAAAGACAGAACACGTCTTGACAAATTGAGCGAAGAGATGCGAGCTGCGTTTGGATCTGTTGGAGAAATCACGAGCGAGTCTGCGTCCAGGCTGCCTTACCTCAATGCCGTGATCGAGGAAAGCTTGCGGATATTTTCGCCTGCCTCCTTCGGACTACCGCGCACGTGTCCTGGAGCCATTATCGACGGACACATGATACCGGAGGGTGTTACGGTGAGTGTCGATCAGTGGGCTATATCGCATAGCCCACAATATTGGAAGGATCCGTACACATTCATACCGGAGCGCTGGATCGCTGATTCGTATGGAGACAACAAGGAAGCTAGTCGACCGTTTTCGAAGGGGCCAAGAGCATGTTTGGGGTCCAGTTTGGCGTATCTAGAGATGAAGATTATAGTGGCCAAAATGGTCTTCTTGTATGACTGGGAGTTGGTTAGCAAAGAGGTGGACTTGATGGGACAGGCGCGCCTGTTTTTGATGTGGAAGAAGCCTGCGTTGATGGTTCGCTTCCATCGTCGATAAGACCTCTCAAAGAGAGACTGATGAGATTGAAGTAACAAGAATTGGTTTAAAGGGGTTTACTACACATGACGATCGTAGTATTGAGCTTATCTCTCAATACCAGGCATGGGCTGATAAGAGATTGTTTCCACGGCCAATCCAAGTACCAGAACACCGTTGTTGCTGTGAAACGTTTTGGCTGATCTATTGCATAGGTACATCGCCGTGTGTAGGCCTAATCTGTTGCGCAGGCCAGCGTATCAGCTCCAAATACTCCGGCGGTAGATGCCTCTCGATCACACCAAGAATAGCCTCTGGTACCGACTCGATTCTCAGCCAGTGCCTTTGATCCACGCGGCTTATCAGTACACACCAGAAAGCCATCATGACCAGAGTCTCAGGACGCTTGCGTTCAGTCATGTCTTTCAAGAACTCCTCGGATACCGCGCCGCCGAACATCATCGCTGAAACCTTGCACGAGGCATCGCCGGCTTTCCCAGCTATTTTGAAGCATTTTCTCAACAGCTGGAAGTCCTCCTCGTACAGAGGTCTGGGGTCTGTTCTGCGCGACAGAGCTGAAAGTTTTGCCTCTATTGACTCAATTTCTGGCTCCCACTCAGGTCTCTCTGGAGATGGAGGGCTGTCAGCCCAGGTGTCCAAAGACGACTGCAGAGTTGTCCATGATGTGCTGGCTTCCAAGGGACCTCTCAGCTGGCGGACGAGTGTTGCGCAGCCGCGGACGGGGAAGATCCACTCGGGAGGTCCGGAAGGGTCGCTATTGAATAAGAGGGAAGAGGGGTCTTCGAAGGAGGCGAAATAGTAGTTGGACATCAGAGCCGAGCAGGCGAAAAGGGCGTGCACTTGGTGTGCGGCTACTTCCGGGGACAACGCATCGCGGAACTGGCTAAAAGCTTTGGCTTGGTGGCCCCATGCCACGCGCTGGTAGTTGATCGAGCTGCTGGGGTAGAGATGATGGAGATGGATGGCCGATACAGCTAGGACTTCGTGCAGGAGGTACGGAAACTTCGGTGCCAGGTTGGGAAGGTCCGATTTCCATGACATGAGCAACGCCTCGTTTTTGAGAGCAAGGCATGGTAGTGTGGTCGTCAGGAAATGGTTGAAAAGAGCGAAGTCAGAAGCTTCAAAAGAGTTGATGATGGTTGAAGGGCCGCTGTTGTCGATGGGTTTTGAGGCTAGAGAGTAAAGCGGGGAATTGATAGAGGTCGTAGACTCTGCTGACAGGCTGCAGGCCAACGAAATCTTGTTACAACGACCACATGGAACCTGTTCGTCGCACTTACATATGCGCATGCCAGAGTCATTGGAGTGAACTTGAGTTCGAAAGTGATATCCAAAACCCGCTCACCTTGATCTTCTTAGCCTTACACTCCTTGCACCCGTTTCGTGACTTGGTGTGCGACCTACGAGAATGGCCCATGTTTCTACTCAACTGTTACCGCAGTAGCAATAATGCGGTCTTCATCGAGAATGTTTTTTTTAAAGAAAACCCCCCTCTTGTCGAGTGAAGTTGGCCCCGCAAAGCGTCGCTGATCGTGACAATGTGCGTCTAGGAAGATTGCGTCAGCGGCGCTTACTTCAGAATAAGACACCGTTTTTTAATGCTTCGGAACCAATGAGAACAAATCTTGGGCAACTAATTTTGGGCCTGCGTCTATCTTCTGGCTGTAGCTGAAAGAGGCCTAGTCTGACAAGTGAACGCTGATATCAAGTTGGCCGCAACAAAGGTCCCTTCAAATCCACAGCTCCCCCCCTTCGAAATATTCGTACACTATAACAATATGCACCCCAATCCTATTTCCGCTCATAGGCCTGTCGTTGCTCCACGTCCAGCGTCCGTGTCTCTTGATCAAGCTTCTTCACATTCCTGGCCAGGATTCCGTTGATCACCAGAATGAGCGTAGCAGCCAGCTCTTCAAAGAGATACAGCCACACCTTCACCATCACAGAACCCGTCGCGGCGCTGAGCGAGCTATTCTCCGATGCGACATATGCCAGCGTCGCGATGACTCTCACGCCCACAAACGGCAGCGCGAAGAGGACCGCTGCGAGGAGCATGATGGCGGCCTTTTTCTGAGGGCGGCCATTATTACGCATGTAGCCTTCAAAAACGGTCAAGGCGGCACCTGCAGCGAGAGTTACCCAGCTGAGGAAGAGAATAACGGCGCCGACCTTGGCGAGGGTCCAGCCTTTGGAGACGTCGTCGAGAGAGGCGAGGTTCATGAGGCGGGACATGCCAATCGCGATGAGGACGACGCCGAGCATGGTGAACATATGGAACATGAGGACGAAAATGAGGTCTCGCTTGTGATTTGCGCTGCGCTTAGAGGGGCTGATGTGGTAGAATCGACTGGAAACTGCAGCATTAATTGTGTGCCAGAGTCTGATGTGCTGAGATGGGTAACTAACGCTTCATGTAGAACACCAGAAAGTGCGAGTAGGAGAGGTGACAAGCCGACGCTTGAGACGATGGTGGCGCCGCTGCTCTCAGGGTCGCCCAAGGCCATGCCTGAGCCGATAATCTTCAAACTGCAAAATATGAAGAGATAGCCCCATCCGAGAATTGCCCATCCTCGTACGCCGTGTTTGAATGTGACGAATAGTGTGGGGATAGAAAGGGTGATGAAGATAATGAGGACGGCGAGGGAGTATCTGTCTGAGACGGCCATGTCGTCGACTTAGATTAGGAGCAGCGTGTAGAACTACAGGGGGGGTTTCTTGGGGAGAAGTTGAAGCTTGGTATAGTTGATTCTGGAATATTCGATGATCAAGTGCTGCCCAAGGCTGAGAGGAAATCTTTGGAAGATGATGTGTGATGGAAGGCTTTCCGACATGGGAAAGCCAAGACTCTTATATTTTTGTAGCCGAGCGCAATAGCTAAGTGAGTGAGCGACAAGGCTCTGGTGCAACATGGACAAGATGCTTACCGATCTAGATGCATCTTGGTCTATCATGTAAAGCAAGGCAACGGCCAACAGCGCCCCCATCACTGCCTCACGGTACTCCTGCTCTACATGAATTCGATGCCTGACGCGGACAATGTGGTGCCTTACGCGGAGAGACCAGATCCATCGCAGCCCTAGCTGACGGCTGACGCAGTCCAGCGCTGCGGTCAAAGTTGGGGTCAGATCTGCGCTGTGGAAAGGTGACAACGAAAGCAAAAGGGACTTTGGTGCTGAGAAGTGTCGATTTGCGAGAAAAGACGGGGCCTTGGCATGAGCTTAGCATTAGTCTACTCCGTACCGATTTCCTCTAAGGGGTCTGAAGCTGCATAAGCGATTAGTGCCTAAGACGGCCGTTTGGATGCCTTATGCGGTCGCAAAGCGAGCAAAGCGATGAGAGCGACAGGCAATGCACAATGTGGCGCATGGCGGCACACTAGCGCGGGCATGCTACACTGCCCAGTTGAGCAGTCGCAGCGAACATTCGTTAGTTGTGACGTTTTCTTGAATTACATGGTGCTTGTGAACGTGACCCGGCTCAATTATTGTCTAAGCAATAGGAGAGCACTCAGTTCCATATGTCTCTCCACATCTCCTTGAACCCGTAATGAGGAGCTTTCGGCCGTATGCTCGCAAACCAGGTGGACTTTGCTACATTACTACGTTTTGCTGAGTTGATGTCCGCTCAACCTGGGCGTCTGGCAGCTTGACAAGCTCAGTCATTCGTTCTGCAAACTCAACAAAACCCACCGCATCGAGCGGGATTGCGGGGACATTCACTTAGTCACTTCCAAAATGGTTCGCGATTCAACCTTCTCAAGAGTCCAGTCAGCTTGCTGACAGCGATGCTACAAACGAACTGCAAATTGCAACTAATCTCCAGCTTCAGCTCTTATTTTCCGGACATTTTCGTTGCACAGACGGAACGTTTGCCCGAACGTGAGGTTGGCGGCAGTAATAGCTGTTCGGTAACGGCCCAGGTCTCTGCACGAATGATCCTGATGTACTCTGTTGGTATGCTTGGCTTGGTGAGGGCTAGTGCTGGAGGCACAGTAAGTGCTTCCTTTGGCTACCCTTCCGCAGATTTTGGATGCTTTTTGGGGGCGCCAAAATCACCTGCAGAACATACTCTGGAGGCCAGAACCTGCAACAACTACATGCGTACAAGCAGTATCGTACCATTACGTTCATCATCAAATCCTCGGAGCGCTTATGACGACTGATTCCAGGTATTCCCACTGTATTGGCATGTATGAGGGGAGGCAACACTTCCAAGAAGCCGATTCGGAGCCAATGATATCTTCGCTGGTCACGCGCCCAATTGGCGTGGATTCCGTCATAAGCAGCCCCTGCATTAACCTTGACCAATCACATGAGACTTGGGTCGTAGCGTTATGTTGTGCGACACCATGCCGCCTCACTTTTCATTCCTCCGACGTTTGGATACATGTTGGCAAATTACTTAGCCAGATCGCGGCGCTGATCAATGGCAGGCTTCTAGGCGCGGAACGCTTTCAAGCAAACGACTCACCAAGAAAGCATTATTCGGAACCTGAGTTGCCAAGGACGCCTCATATAGTTACTTTGTCTTCTATTCCCCCCTATTTTGACTTCCCCCGATCATCTGTCTCTCCCTTTTCGTATTCTCTTTCTTTCATAAAAGCTACGGGAGTTGTGGATTCAGAGGCATCTTTCTCTATATATGAAATCGGAATATAAGTGAAACAGCCAGCATACCTCAGTCGACTACACAACTCGCCCCAGCGTCGATACCATGCCTCTTCATATTACGCAGAGGAAAGAAGGGATTTTGGCGGAGATCGAAGGGGACTTCCCCCTCGACCTGGCAATCTACGGAGGTAAGGATATCAAGCACCGACTACACCTCGCAATGTGATGATCGCTAGTCTGACTATTCGGCACCCAAACTTAGTTTTGCCAATCGGATCGAAGATTGTGACGGCCAAGTCTTACGGGGATTCGGTGTGGACCCAAACGGGGCGCATGACAGTTGAACTTCCCGACGGAGATGTGAAGCAATATTTCCTCAAGGTATCTTGCTTTATTTCCCAAAATACCTGAATACTCTTCACTTGAACCTAATGTTCACCATTGACTCTGGATGACAGTTAGCAGTCGCCGAAAATGGCCGACAGCTATGTCGCGGTGAACACTATGCCATTAGTCTCATCAACGCTCTTGTTCCCGGTATGGTACCTAGGGCCGTAGCCTGGGGCAAGTATTCTTTTAGCCCGCCAGATACTTTCTTCTTCATCGAAGAGTTTCATGACTTAGACATGAGTCTTCCCAATCCCAGAAAGCTAGCGCAGCGAGCAGTTCAGCTACATAGCCAAGTCTCCCCAAACAGCAAATTCGGCTTCGAGGTTGCTACTTTCGACGGAATCGCTCCACATCCTGAAGGCTGGGAAATCAGTTGGAGGGTATATTTCACTCGGGTTCTGCGCAAGTCAGTAGAGACAGATGCCGCGGCAAATGGAATTTGGCCCGAGTTATCTAAAGCAGCCGAGCACCTCCTGGAATTTGTCGTCCCGAGTCTTTTAGACCCATTACAGCTTGGACCGAATCCTATTGAACCCCGTCTCATCCATGGAGATCTTTGGGGAGGCAACATTGGCACAGATGAAGAAACTGGCGAGATCATCTTCCTTGATGTCGGTTGTTTCTACGGGCATAACGAACTAGACCTCGGAATGTGGAGGCGATATGGTGCGCAGAACCTAGGTCAACGCTACCTTGACGAATACAAGCGCATATTTCCACCATCGGAACCACAAGAAGGTTTCGATGACCGGAACAGGCTTTATAGCATGAAGTTCGATCTCAATGCATCTGCTGGGACGCCAAACGAGAAAGCCAGAAACACGTGAGTACAATGCTGTTACCTCCATACACTTTTGATGCAATTCGATAGTTGTCTAATGGTTACGAGCTATAGTGCTTTCAACAACATGCTTTATCTCATCGAGAAGTACATCGACACGCCGGTTGAGGGCTTGTCGAAATATGATAAAACCAAAGACCCCTCTGCTGGCAGTGGTTACATATACGCGAATAAATAAGCCTCCCGCTTAGTGCACGGATTAATCCTCCAAGTAGTCCCAAGACTTTTTTCTATTTCCTACAGTTGTCCTAGGTGGCATCCTTCTCATAGCTCTCCGCTTCCTGTTCTTCGTGAGGTCTTATCAGGCCATGTTTGATGTCATTACAAATAAACCTTAGGATGTGCCATAGCATGTAATTGATGCGACCGTGAGCTGTCTATGGTTATCCCTTGATCCCCTAGTCGACAGAAAATGATTTTATCTCAATCACAGAAAGCGAACATGAGTAGTAATGCATCCTCGCGCACTTTGCAGTTCTACTTAATTCTTTTCGTGAAGGGGAGAGTATCCATCTGTACCTAAGATTCGTGTTTTGAGGAGTGTATCCTCGAACTCTCCAGTTACAGCTGGACTCTGTAACTTTGATCTCTACTCGTGGTGCTCATCAAAAGTTCGATGAACTATATCGATTCGAGTTCTGAACTGGGATCTCAGAATGTACATGTAGAAGCATTTTATTTCGAATTGGGCAGTTCGCACTCATTTCTAAGAACAGTAAGGCTCGCCACATGTTGACAGCGTCTTCTGTAGTGGCGACTGCAAAGGCACTCAGATACAGTCATTCGGGGCATTTTAGATCCCGACAGATTCTAATTGCCTTTCTCCCATCAATCTGAGCTTCATCTTACGCCTAAAGAGACCCGGCGGCTACAGTGTAAGTTGATCTTTCAATAGCACACACCTTGGCAAGGCGTTGCATTTCTTGTTCCAGTGGCCATACCACATTGAGGCGCGAAGTGTTGAGTAGTGACAAGTTGGTTGTGATGCATGCGAGCAAGTGAGCGGGCGTAAACGCACCAGTCAAAGTCGTGGATGTGATGAGGTGACTTGCATACATGATGCAAGTTGAGGAAGAGATTGGCAATTTTCTAATTTTGGCAATACGCCATGCGCTAATCAGACCACTTTGGAGGAACAAGTACTTGGCGGAAACAAGGACGCGGAGAAAACGGAGGCAGTGTGCCGCTCTTAATTGTGAAGTACCGTGCCCACCTACTGATAGATCACAAAATCAGTGAATTCGATCGGCCAGCATAGTGATACTGCCAGATGGACTTCTCGGCTGGGCTTCTGTTGTTAGCAGGCAAATACAACTCGTACCTCGGCTCAAGTGCTTAGATTGTCATTGATTCAGCCGATTGCGCCAAATCTCAAATTCGTCGTTTGGAGAAAAAGAATTCAAACACCTTCTCGAGACTTAGTCCCGCTCCTTAATGCAATTTCGTACTATAATTTACTAAGACGCAGCCACATCATCTTCAGCGAAAACTTTTCTATCTTCAATCACCAGCTAGGTCAGATTGCTCTAGTGTAGCTGTGATCGGCTGCGGACAATGGGGCTCGAATCTCATCCGAGTCTTCGCCGACTCTGGGACACTGAGCGCTGTCTTTGACGTCAATCAGGCCAGAGCCAGTGATGCTGCGGAGCTTCTACGAGCCACCCATAACCACCTCATACCAACTCGCGACTGGGCCAGTATTTTAGCTGATCCGTCTATCACCGCAATTGTGATTGCAACGCCTGCAGCTTGTCATGCAGATATGGCTGTCGAAGCTTTGACTGCTGGAAAACACGTCCTCATTGAAAAGCCTTTAGCTCTAACTGTTTTGGAGAGCAAGCGAGTACAAGCAGTGGCTCATCAGACACAAAGAATAGCCATGGTCGGCCATACCTTTCGCTACCATACAGCCTATCAAGAGCTCAGGGACCTTGTGAAGTTGGGAGTTTTAGGAAAGGTTTTGCACATTCAGTCACGTCGGCTTGCCTTCGGGAAAATTCGTCCTGATGAAAACGTTTTTTGGAGCCTAGCTCCTCATGATATATCCATGATTCTAGGTCTCTTCGACAACGTCGAGGCTGCAGTTGTTCAGACTTACGGGGAAAGTCTGTTACGCCCAGGCACCACTATCTTAGACACGGTCAACGCCCATTTCAAGCTCTCTAATAGGGTGAGCGCTGAAGTCCACGTGTCATGGTTGAACCCTCATAAGGAACGAAAGATGACGGTGATCGGAGAGGAAGCAACAGCTGTTTTTGACGATACAGAGCCATGGGAGTCTAAGCTTCGTCTGTTCAAGAACAAGATCGACTGGACGAGCGGTCATCCGGAGGCACCAGACGGCCGAATGGAGGTTGTAGCTCTGGAGAAGCTCGAGCCGCTCGCCATTGAATGCCAGCACTTTCTTAAGTGCGTTGGTACCGGCAAAGTCCCAAAGACTGATTTGGCCGAGGGCATAGCCGTTGGTGGCGTACTCGAAGCAGTTGAAAATCAGTTACGAATGTGGGTATCCCTTCGACAACCGAGTGCCTTGACTGCCGGATTACATCTAGATCCGAAGGCAGAGGTCCTCAATGAAATCCCATGTCCGACATTGCCAGAAAAGATTGTCAAAATCTCCATCATTGATCTCCAGTCTCAGATGCGCCGAATCCAATAGCCCCTTGAACGGAGGATGTCCCAAGTCTTCAATGACATGGGATTCATCATGGGACCCGAGGTGTACGAACTCGAAGAAAGACTATGTGCTTTTATAGGAGCTACGAACGCAGTCACCTGTGCAAGCGGCACCGACGCCTTGACATTGGCAATGTTAGCCCTTGGAGTTGGTCCTGGAGATGCAGTTCTCGTGCCAGCACTAACCTTCATAGCTTCTGTGGAGCCAGTGCTTTTGCTTGGCGCTGTTCCAGTAATCGTGGATGTGTAATCACAGACATTGACCGTCAATCCGGCTCAAGTTGGCGCAGGTGTTGCCGCTGCACGAAAGGCCGGTCTTAGGCCTGTCGGTGTCATTGCTGTGGATTTGTTCGGGACACTCGCAAATTACAACGGTATTCGTTCTGCCATGGCTGAGTTAGAAGACGAGTGTCTATGGATTATCGCTGACGCTGCCCAGAGCTTTGGAACAAGTGTTAACGGGCGAAAGTTGGCACATTGGCCGATATTACGACGACCAGTTTCTTCCCTTCCAAGCCCTTGGGCTGCTACGGAGACGGTGGAGCAGTATTAACTAACAACCCGAAGACTGCTTCTATGCTCCGGTCTTTGCGCCTCCATGGGCGAGACGAGAAGGAGAAATATGACAATGTCCACATAGGAGTCAATAGCCGACTCGACACCATACAGGCAGCGATTCTCCTTTGCAAGCTCGATATCCTAGCTGACGAGATAGCTTTGAGACAAGTGATAGCGTCTCGTTGAACTAGCCTGCTCCTAAACGAAGTCGACAACAATCATGGGTCGAATTCAACTCTCTGTCGGCCGGCCGCTCTGCGACTCGACGGGACCGTCTCGGCGTGGGCAGCTTACACGATTCGAACGACTGACGTGAAACGGTCACATATTCGAGCGCGGCTGCATCAGAACGGCATTGAATCCGTCGTTTACTATCCCATTTCTGTCCATCAGCAGGCCGCCTGTCGGAAGTTTCCGGTCGCGAAAGGTCACTGCCCTGCAGCCGAGAGCGCTTGTCGCGATGTGATCAGTATTCCGATGCATCCATATCTTGAAGCCAGCGAACAAGCGCATATCAATTCTTTGTTGGTGGGAACAACTTGAACGCTATTGCGTTATATGCACTTCATAGTCGAAATTATTCAATATCCCAATACATCACGACATCAGACGAAACAATATGTCCCGACCTCTACGCCCCAAGTGCCCTAAAGATGCTCAGTCTGCATTCATTGTGTTCGCATCTGTGTATGTCACTTTCACCACACTTGGACACACATCCTTCAATTGCCTTTTGCGAGTCAGGTATGTCAAGGCCGCCGCCCCCTTGCTTGCTAACATAATGTTCGCTTATCTTAACTTCTCTGTTCACAAGCTTAATGACAACATTGATGAAGGATTATCTATTGCAATAATGGCTCTGCGGATCAGCAAAGACAAGGCTGTGAGGTCGTCGCTCTCGAGAATCTCCTTGATGGGGTGCTCTACCTGGATGAAGCTGAGGAACCTGCTGCCCATGGCTTCCGGGTGGACCGATGGCTGAATTCGTGTTCGGCCGTCGATGGCAATGTTCAAGACAGATTTCTCGCTCTCGTCCAGCTGGGCCGCATCGAACGGTGCTGCCATTATGCTCCGCCAGATCAAAGCTGAGAGAGCGTTGTTGGTCGATACATGCGATCCGTCTTCTCTCTGAGGCTGCGTGTCCTTCTCTATTCTCTTCAACGATTCTGGGGATAGATAGAGGATTTATCTGATATGGCCATCCGTTGTCTTATTGCAGATGTATCAATTGAGAACCAGCATCTTTAGGTGCAGAATTGTAATGATTGATGCAGGCTTTGGGTTTCACTGATCTCGCTGATACATAAGTATTTGACGTCTCTCCTCCCACCTCCGAAAACGCAAGTCAGTATCCCGAAACTTAAAGCTCAATCGTGCGACCTCAACAGATCCTTGGATTACTGCAAGGAAGCTCACAGGAGCACCTTGTCTTATCCCTGCAATGGTCGCCTAGAACATCATGTTGAATGTCGCCAGTGTTGGTGCACCTACGGATCTGCCACACATTTATTTCGAAGGCTCTTCTCATTGCAAACAAAAATGAGGGCTACCACCAAGGTTGGTGTTTGGGTCTCGTTGGTGACTGGAGGAGCCGAAGTGGTCTTAACCATGTTGGTGGTCAGGAAGATAAAGAGCGGTATGAGAGTCAGAAATTTTGGAATTGACTGGATGGAACGAAAGCTGGCGGCTACCTTGGCAGGAAGAATACTTGAGTAGTTCGAATGAAGGATCCTATCAGGATTACGGTGTAGTAATTGTTTTGGAGAAGATGGGTATGACTCTAGAAACGAGAGATGATTGTGATTACGCTATTTCTTATGCGCTAAAGAGAGGAAGAAGTTAAGCCTCTATAGTTTTTCAATTTTTGTTTTCAGCTCTTATCTAATTGCGATTGGTCGTAAAAAGAGCTGTATAAATCGACGGCCCCAAGCCTTGCTCTGAAAAGAGTTTGTCAGAATCAAGTGAGGTGTCTTAACACACCTGCAGGGATTATAGTTATGGAAGGAATATTGACCTGTACCTAGCATATACAGATTTCCCACACAAGGTACGACAGGCCACAAGTGTCTAGACGTCCCGAATTCAGGTGGATGAATATGACAGACTTATCTCTTAAGTTCTGTTGGCACTGTCCAACCCTGACCTTCCAATGCGATTTGACCATAAGTCAATAAGGGAGAACGTTTCGGCACCGCTTTCAATACTCTGAGATCGTGGAATTCTCGGCAAACAATTGTGGAGATACGTCCTCCTTAGGTTGGGAGTAACCACCAACAGCAATTCGACCTTCCGTTTCTATCTCGAGAGTAGGCCATTGCTCGTTCCGACGGGCCGTTGTAACGACCATTATGTCCTAGCTCGCGAGACCTTCGGAGCCTCCTTTATCATACTCAGCAGAGAAGATAGTTCGGTTAGCTTTGCACGAATGTGATTTGCGAGGCTATGTCTCGCGATAACAGGCACCGAGTGGATACAAGTTTGGTCTGCCAACTTAGAACCCATCAACTTGACACATCGACGCCAAATGAAGAATCTTTCAATACGAGAGAATATTTGGGGTTCAAATGCCAGTCCTATTAAGCAGATACGATCCAAATGGCCAAGTAATGGAACAGAATTTCCCGGTCTCCTCCGCACCTGAATTCAAGGAAACAAAAATACGGAAGCTGGACTCAGCGTCTGTCCTCTTGTATTTCCTGATTTCAGCGATGATCTAGGTGCAAGCACTCCAGCCTCCCACCGGCACAGACTTCCTGGCCGTTTTTCATACTACCCATACTCTCACCACTGGCATTAAGCAGCAGCCAGTTTCGGCTGCCCGCCTTCTCGCATCATTTGATACTCCATGATACTGGCACTCGCAGTGACACCAGCCGTACTTTATAAACTTGGGAAGAGGGGGACACTCATCACCTACTGTCAGTAGCGTAGCACTCTGGGCTCCCACATTCTGTCTGTTGAATTTTGAACACTCGGTACAAGGGGTGGATATGGAAGACAGTCAGGACCAAACAAGCGGCCTTTCCACTCAAAAACTACACCTAGCGGTCCTTTTGGGCTTCTACTACTTCGTCCTCTTTCCTTCTCCATACGCAGAAGTCACAGACGCGATATTGGCCCTTACTACCAAAAGTCCGATCGCATGCTGACGTATATACCGTCGCAACTAAATTGAAGCTGAGAATGAATGGATGAGGTAGTGAATAGACTATGACCTTCGTAGAATATCGCCGGATCCTATCCTTTCGGCTTTTGCGGCGCTCTCTCACTCTATGCAGAAATCAAGAGAGTGTGTTGAAGCCACACATTGAGACAGGCCTACAAAAAGTCTCTTCCAACAACCAATCCATGTACGGCTGACCAGTCAAGACTCGCGAGACCAAGTCACCTATGACCAAAACTCCAATATGGTCATCACGTCACTGCCTTACTAAGACAAAGGACGCATATGAAAGTGCAACATCGGCATATTTTCTCCCTCGATACATTCGCAACTGCATTTCCGGAAACCCCCAACGAAAAAACATTTTTTTGGACTGCGTCACCACCCCTGCTCAACATGGCAACTCTAGCTGATTATTCGGTTGACCCCTCAACTAACCCGGCTTCTTGGCCGACCCCGCATCAAACTGTCGAGCAGGCAAATATTAGGGAAGTTAATGTTGACTTCATTCACACAAACACGATCGGCGACTCGGACTTTCACAACCTACGCATCGGCGCCGAAGGACACGTTCCTCTCTTGCGGCAGGTGAATAGGCACGCGACTCGTGGTCTTTATCAACTGATCAGCCTCAATATTACGGAGTACTCGTGCGTGGTGCTTGTGTCGACGGTGAAGACGCGGAACGAACTATCGGAAGAGGGCTTTCCAAGGGACAACCAAGACCCTCAGCTTGAAGCAGCGCCGGAATCAATTCCAATCACCACTCCAGTGCTCTACCATGTCAACCTGTCGACCCATTCCGACCCGATTAGATGGCCGAACGAGACCACAGGGTACATCGACATTAGCAAGGTTGACATAATCTACGTTAACGTGAACGGCGATTCGGACTTCCACATGCTACGCACTGGAACCAATGAACACGTTCACCATGTCGTCACTCAGGTGACTAAACACCTGGTTCGTGGTATCTACCATTTAATCAGTCTTAATGCGACGGAGCACTCGTGCGTGGTGGTCATATCAACAAGAAAGAAGAGAAGTGAACTACCATAAAGAGGCTTCCCGTGGGACAACAGAATTGGCCCTCAGCCTGGAGTTGGGTCGGAATAATATGTTTCGTTGTGTGTATGGATCTGAAACAGTCTCGACATGGCATATGTTGGAAGTCTGCTTTGCAACACAAATCGGCTGCATACCTAGTTAAGTACTCAAGAGAAAGCAATCAACATTCGCATCACAATCCTGAACCAAAATCTATACTGATTGGCCCCTTTGTTGAGTTTTTGTTGATTCTTGACGGGTCCTTGATTCAGCAGTCATATTATTTTGAGTAAGTAGGTCATCTCCCAGCGCTACCCGTAACGCTGCGCGGTACTGCCCCTTACTCGAAAGAATCAAGCCACTTTCTGCATAGGTGGCTCCTACTTCATTCCTTGCTTTGTAATAAGTCGCACTAGACATCTTCACGATCATCTCCAGGATCGAAAAATTACAAGTCTGAACTTATTATCCTTAATCAAAAGGGCCAACTTCATGTTCTCTTTGGTTCGTTTCGATGACGCGGGCTGCTCCCCAAGTTCCCAACGCACCCGATGGGAAATTATGAATTTAATGTTAGTAGGGTCTCCGGTAGATAACATTAGTTTGCCCGATCTTAGCAACCATGCATGGAATATTTTCTTTGCTTACTTTATGGTAGGTGGTAAAGAGAGTGACGTTCCTCAGCAGGTCCGTCTTTTACCCCCTATCATCAAGCCGCTTTAAACCATTTTGGACCAGGTCGAGGCCTCAGTCTCTAATGATTCCCAATCAGAAAACTTGATCGATGTCCTTTTGCAGATTAACTGGTTGAGAAGCTAGATGGTCAATCCATAGGAAAACCTCCCATCACCCCGGCTGCCAGTCCGCATTCACGGAATCGGCTGCTCTCTACACATTGGCTTCATACGTAGGTATGCTTGCTCAGTAAATTTGGGTTATGGAAATTTTCCGTGCACGTTTTTAGGGCGGTGGTTTAACTATGAACATTCCACTACTGAAGTATGCCATCGAGGCACTTATGCATTGCGAGGGTCGTTGGGAAGTCGAGCGCCACGAGCCCCTTTCGACTTGCGGTGCGGGATGTGAGACGGCGTAGAGGTTTTTGAAGTAGACAATTCCAGGCTTACCAAAGAGAACACACTTCCCAGGATTGGAGCAGGAACCACACATAGTCTTTCGATTCTAGTATACATCCAAACCCCCAGATGCTCTTCCTTTGAGACTGGAGTGTGCGTGCCACATACCTTAGCCCTCGGGGAAGCCTACCTAAGTGGTGGAATGAATATTTGGTGGCGTTTACCAAGGCTGGGCAAACTATGTTTTGTCTTGGCCTTCGGCCTAAGTCGACCGAGGTGTGCCTTAACCTGACAAATGGAACCCGAGGGATTCCTCGTCATCTCCAACTTGCGTAAGTACCTCGGTTTAGTGTCTACATCCGACTAACAATGAGGACCTTTGTGAGAGCAGAATCAAGTGTCACAGCTGCTTCGGTGCTGTCACGCATGTAGAGGACACAGATAATGCTGAATCGGCTGTGTCCGAGTAAGGTACCTAATGAAATGACAAAGTGTCACGGTCTGCTCAGACCATATGCCAGCGTGCGGATGACAGGTTGCAGTCACCGTCAGAAAAAGCGGGGAATGAACCAGAACTTCGGATCGGAAGTGTCACCTCCACCCCCCGCGTTACCCCAGCAAAAGTCCCTAGGCGGAGGGCGCATCAGGCCAATAGAGTCGCATAGCAGTAACAGTTCAGTCAGTCGTTGCCCGCCCTTTGTTGCGCAACATTGACTTGAATTTCACTTCGTGTTTAACCGAACCAGCACAGGCTTGATTGAAGACGCCGCATGCAGAATATGTCGCTACTTTGCCAAATATACAACTCCTTCGGGGGTTTCTGCAATGATACCGGGCTATCAGGCAGCGACAGACGTGGGCTAATCCATATCAAGTGAGTGAGTCCGATATGAAATTGCAGCTGCGGCGCAAGCGGCTTGGGAGCCAAGGGAGCCAAGAAGCCAAGACAACCTGGGCAGTGCGCTGGGCAGGCCCGACAGAGAGAAAACAGAGTTGGATTCGCTGAATCTCAAGACGAACCGACATCAAATGACTTTGGGTATGTACCCTCACGATTCGCAGCAGAGCTCATGTATGAATAGTACTACCGACCTAGGATTCAGAGTTCCCTACACAAAGACGTCGCTCGGGACAGTACGATGCTTGAACCGCTTTTCGTGAACTACAACGTCTGCACTCTGATCCTTTTGGTAAGCTGCTGCATGCAGTCGAGACATGGGCGTCATTGTACAATCAGCTTTTGGGTTGCAGTGCATTAAGCATGCAGCGGTTCGTCCAGACACGCGCAAGCTGCACCACACCGTATTGAAGACAGACTGGAACGAGAGGTCAAGACCCTGGCGAATTCTCCTGGGTCAATGAGGCACCTGATCCACCGGCTCAAAGGAGCTCCTCCTCTAGCCATTTTTTCATGGCCTCGGTCGAAAGATACCCCAGGATATTGTGCTCTTTCCCCGCTTCGTTTACGCATTCCCCAAAGAGACGGTTGTGAACCCCATGGGGATCGTGTGGGGAAATTGAGTTCACGCAATCCAGACTCGGGGTTGAACTTGCGCGAATGACCCCAGCATTGGGAACAGGTGGTTGGAGGACACGCCTTGGCATCTTGGCAACCAGGGGAGCCGGTCCGGACAATGGTATTCATACCTGCAAATACGCAAGTGCTTATCTTCCCCGTGTTCCGCTCCTCTGTTTCCCAGCAAGCTTCCTGCCTTCCCTACCAATATCACCTTCTGCTGTCATCGTTACAGAAATCCCCAGCATAGACAAGTAGAGTGTCAAGATGGCCGACAACGAAAAGGGACTGCCTGAGACTTTGGCTAAGGCCCGGTCCGGGTCCGTCGATCATGCAGAATACGGCACATACACTCCCGATATTGCTCTGATCCAAGCTGCCGCGGCCGCCAGCGAAGAAGAGACGAGGCTGCCCCGCAAGGAGCTCATATCACGATATCTGCCAGCTGCCATTTACAGCATGCTCCTGAGTATGGCCCTGATCATGGAGGGCATGGACGTTGGTCTCGTCAACAACTTCTTTGGACAAAAGGCGTATTTGAGGAGGTTCGGTTGGCCAGATGCCAATGGCAAGCAACACATCCCGACATCATGGCAGGCTGCCATCGGCAATGGCAACAATTTGGGAAGCATCATCGGACTGCTTCTGAACGGCTGGCTTCAGTCTCGCTATGGCTCCCGACGAGTCTACATGGGTGCCATGGCACTCATGGGCGGGACAATCTTTTCACTGTTCTTCGCAGTTAACGTCCAAATGCTTTTCGCCGCCAACATCTTGTGCGGCATTCCCTGGGGTATCTTTCAGACCCTGACTACTGCATACGCTGCCGAGATTTGCCCTGCTGCTATGCGAGGATACCTCACCGCATGGGTTTCCATGTGTTGGGGATGTGGCTCCTTCCTTGCCGCCGGTGTTCTCCGTGGTTCACTGGGACTTCAGGGAGACTTGGCATGGAAGATCCCTTACGCTCTCCAATGGGTTTGGGTGGTGCCTCTATTCACTGTTGGCTTTTTTGCCCCGGAAAGCCCATGGTACCTCGTTCGCCGTGGTCGCATTGAAGAAGCCGAAAAGTCGCTACGCCGTCTTGCACGCAAGAACTTCTATACTGAGCAGACCATGGCTCAAACATTGGCTCTCATGAGACACACTAACGAAATGGAAAAGATCGAGTCAGCTGGCGCCAGTTACCGCGACTGTTTCCATGGAACCAACTTGCGCCGCACAGGCATCGTGGCCATGGCCTGGCTTATTCAGATTCTCAATGGCCAGGCCATCTGCGCCTACGCTACCATCTTCTTGCAATCAGCCGGTATGCCAGAAGTCCGAGCATTTGACTTCAGCATGGGTATCCAGTCAGGCAATATTGTGGGCACCGCCATTGCCATTTCCCTAATGGGCAAAGTCGGGCGTCGCGTCTTCTTCTTCTGGGGTTCCTCAATCATCGGTCTCCTCATGCTCGTCATTGGCATCCTAGGCTTCATTCCAGGGAAGACCAATGTTGCTCTGGCTGTGGCTGTCGTCATGATCATTGTTAACCTGACGTTCAAACTGTCGCTGGGCCCGACAACATACACCATTGTGGGCGAAATGTCCTCCAGTCGTGTGCGTGCTCAGACCATCGTTCTCGGACGCGCTATCTACGTCGTGGGCCAAATTGTCGTACAGCAGCTCAACCCTCGCATGCTCAACTCCAGCAGTGACTCTTGGAATTGGGGTGCGAAGACTGGCTTGTTCTACTTCGGACTTTGCTGCATTTGGGCTGTGCTGATCTTCTTCTTCCTCCCTGAGACGAAGAACCGCACATTCGCAGAGCTGGACTACTTGTTCCAGAAGAGGACTCCGGCTCGCCAATTCGCGACCACACCCGTTGATTGTAGGTCAAACTTTTCTCATATTTTCATTTCACTTAGACTTCAAAATTCTCCCTTCATGGCTTGCCTACAGTTGCACCTGCTAACGCATCTCATCGTAAAGTATTCGAGTTGACCGGAGGCGATACCAGCGCCAAGAAGCTCGACGATGATGACCTCAACAGGAACGTTGGTGAGCTGCACGTGAAGGGAATCTAGATCATGATTCACGAGGATGCTATATGTCACTCATGTATATTGATAAGATGGATCCGTAGTGGACTATTGAATAAATAACCCTAATTTGATGCAACACCATTCGATTATTCGCACATCTCTTAAGGATTGCCGTCACGTTGGCTAGGCCGTGAGCAATTTTATTGTATCCATCTTTTTCCTTCTAGGCAATGCATCCATAGTCGCCGATTTATCACATTGGTTCAACATAATAGCGGCCAGCGACGGTTCACCCTGCAAACGTCTACCCACGTTGAGCTCCGTAACGTCTTTGCATCCGCATCCTGGTGCCTCCAAACCTCACACAAAACTTCACTCGACACACAATAGCCTTTCCATCCTGACTTAGTGTAGGCTCTGTTTAGCCAAGAGCTGAACTGCGCCCTCCTCTCTGGTTTCGTCGCTTCCGCACCAGCAATGAAAGCTGGCCAAGCTGTGCCTGGCCCGAGCAACTCATTTCGACTCAAAGCATTATCAAATCCTTCCAACGCCTCCATCACCTCATCGACACTTTCTTGAAGCAGCATAGGATTGATGTTCCGGATCCTGCGATAGAAAAAAATCATCAAGGCCGGGCATAACGCCCGCACCATATGTACGTGAGGCTTCTCGGTATTCAAATCTTGTTCGTACTGTCCGTGGTATCTTGCTTTGAAGGCACACACAGCTTCTTCTAGATAGGACGCCTTTGGTTGTAGTGCTGCCATCTTGATGGCGTCAAGTTGGCTTTCATTTGGCGCAAGATGGTCCATAACATTAGCTAGTCGTGTAATCTGGGACACAAGTCTCAGCCAGGTTTCAGGCACTCCGTATATCTGCATATACATGTCTTCCTGATCCTGTACTGAAGTTGCTAGATGTATGTCTTTGTTGGTATCCGTCATGTCATCATTGATGATATTGTGGAAAGTGGTGTCGGGATGAAGCTGGAGTGGTTCCAAGTGGAGGAAGTTATCCAGGGTAATTTCTGGGTAAACCTTTCTCAGTTGCTCTGCACTTGAAATAGCTGGCCTGAACGACGCTATTCCAGCTTGAGACTGATCGTGCGCAGGAACATGGTCTTGAGCAGTGACCCAACCATCGTTGATGCCAATTGGATCGAGTACTGGCGCTTCATCGTGGAAAGTTTTAGTGCTTTCCGAGACTATCCTCATCCAGGCGTAAATGTTGTGTAACAGTCGTGCTCGACGTGATAGCTTTGACTTTCGCAACCCGCGAGTACGGATTAGCCTCTCCATTTCTACAAGATATCGACATGTATCTTGTTCGTTACCAGATAATAACTAAACGGAGTTAGCAGAAGATCGAATAAATAGAGAACACTTACGGCGGTTGCAAGAATAGCTGCGGCGGCCATCAGTTGTTCTTTGTACTTGGCTTTCTTTGGGGCGACAGACTCCTCCTCCAAGCTGAGCTTCAGGTGGAACTTGGCACAATCATATGTCCTCTCAGATAGACGTTTCCAGTACCCTTCGTGTTTCTTCATCTCTGGAAAGCTCTTTGAATTGAGTGAAAGATGGAACGCGGATACCGCGATGAGGGCATAAAGGTTCGACAAGTTGGCGTGTCGAATACCATGACTGGGTAGTTTAAGAATAGTAAGCTGGCTCAGTGTGACGATGGCAGAAGGAAAATTCAAAATCCTCCATGCAGACTTCTCGTTGATCGGTAGCGAGCCCATTTGGTTTATAACTTCATCGTAAAAGTGTTTCAATAGGATCGGAGCATCCGCAACTAGATCATCGTCCAGCTCTGGGAAGGCACTAGGCCGTACACTGCTGAACCCTCGAGTTTCCGTCATCTGCTGGTTGATCGTTTCACCGATTGTCCAATCGTCTAGGATAGTGTGTGGTCCATGGTTGGAACATGAAACTTCGTCAATGGAGTAGCCCGGAAGGGGAGAATAGTTCACTTCGGCATTCCAGGTGAACAAGTCCCCCCATTGAAGGACTTCTAGAGAACTCGAGAGAAGCTCGTCAAGAGCATCAGACACGGTGAGATCATTCAGAATGAGACCGCAGCTTCCGGCGACATCGGCCGTTGCGAAATCAGTGGCTTGCATAGACCTGCCCAGGTTCGATGGTGAGACGGTGCCTTCCGGAAGAGACAGGTTGTCGCATTTGTCGACAGCGCGTTCCTCCACCACTGGGATACTTGTCTTCGCACCTAAACCGACTTCGGACGCTCCGTCTGGAACTTGATATACTCCGTGAAACACATTGAAAGGACCAATGGCAATTTCCGTTTCCTCCCTAGATTCCACTGATTTGGACTCGTTCTCGATTTTGGAAATGGCTTCGTTGACTGTAGAAGGCAAGCTCTCAACGAGAGAAGTACTCATCATCTTTCTCAAATCATCTGTTCTCCTTCCTAGTCAGCTTCAAAATATCCATGTTGAGGTCATAGAGGCCCTCAGACTCACCAGAATATAGGTGACGCCGAGAATACTGTGTATCTTCGTTTGCAGGATGAACCGCCGTGCTTAAGTCATCTGGACCGTTTACTAGAACCCAGCGGAGGACCGCTTTAAAATCGCACTTCAAGCCTGAGATGCAACATCGTTTACACCTTGGTGTGGCCTGGTCGCATTTCAGGTGACGTTTCCTGCATGTCTTGCATCCTTCAAAAGAATGTGTGCTCCTGGACCTTGACGTGTGCATGATGCAACCAATAGGTACTATATGAACCAGGCAATGCCGTCGACCTCTCAAGGACGGACCGCGAGCGGCTGTTCGTTGGAAAGCAAATAGCAAAGGTTGGAACGGCAATAAGGAAATGTTAATTTGTCGATATCCTCCGGCGTTTATAGGGCACACACGGGCAGCATGGATTCCGGGGCATTGGGTTATCTATTTTATACCTTATGTCACCGGCTAATAGGTCCGTAACATGCCTAATATCAGCAAGCTTCCGCGGGAGCGACTGGCAACAAGGACGATGCTTTTCGTTAGTTGCTGCCCCAATCGCAATTGCACTGCTGGTCAAGATAATAAGATTGATCGATGAAATGCGAGAGACGATCGTGGACCATTGTGATCATTTTCTCATTTCGTACAAAATCGGGACTAACGTTCAGCTACTTTACCTATGAGATTTTGACAATCTTGATTATACAGTAGTTACATGGAACAAGAGGACATAGGCCAGATTGTTTGTAACTCTCCCGTAGGGTCTAGGCTAAAGTGGAAAGTGACCCCGAAGCTATCGCTGGATTGGGTTAAACCAGCTCCACACACCCGAGAGGGCCGCATCCTTGAGATCTCGACAGCTTTGCTCTGTTTCCCAAGCAGAGCCTATAATCGTCCAAACAACCATTGCTGCGATATGAGCTAGCCAAATAGCTTCGCAATTCTCCTGTTATTCCACTCCCATGAAGTAACATCATCATAATGGCATGGGGTAGCTTCGGTGACAAACTCCTTGATGGGAAGCAGGGATGCAAGGCGATTCGGCTTGACGAAATACGCAATGGAGTATCGTTCGGGGATCTCAATATTGTCGCCAGCTTTAATTGCCGGTGGATACGTGACACGATGGCAAGCAGCACGGAATGTGTCATTAGTCAGGCGTTGAAGAGAGTCGCCAATGTTGAGGATGATGTCGGTGGGTGCCAAGGATTCCACGCTCCGGAATACGCCAGGTTCGTTCTGGTCCTCCACTTGAAGACCTCCCACGGAGTCTTGAAACAGCATGGTGATCGTTCCAAAGTCGGTGTGCTCGGCAATGCGCGTCGCTGTACCGTCCGCAAGCTCCATGGCGGGAATCGCCGGATAATGAAGAAGACGAAACTCGTTCTCCGCACGATTATGAAGTGCCCTGAGGTAGTCTTCCGAAACACCGAGAGCAATCGCAAGAGCGGACAGAAGATGCAATTCGGTTTTGTACGCCTTCTCATAGAAGTATTCCATGAACTTTCGGAATCCAGGAAGGCTCTCTTCAGGTACCCAAAGATTGTCTACAAGATCGTCGTGCGAACTGCCCATGTCCAGAGTCTCCTTAGCAACTATGTTAGTCAATTGAGCATATGGCGTCTCCTGTCTGGCAGTATGGATTACCTTTATATCGCGAGTCTTGCCTGGCCCTAAGCCCTTCTCGTAGCCACTGATATTTGCAACATTCTCTTGACCAACAAAGCTATATCCTCTGTTCGGATTGGCTTGAGGCGGGTGCTTGGCTTTCATCTTTTCCTCATGGGGCAAAGCAAAGAATTTTCGACTCTATTGTGACGGTCAGCCTTCATGTCATCTACTCCATAATACTTCGAGCCTACCATATCAAATAGTTTGTGTATGTCCTCTGCTGGTATACCGTGATTTTGAATCTTGACGCCGCCTCGCGACTTGAGCAACCGAAGTAGCTCGTTGCAAAACTGTCGTTTCTGCTCCTCTGTTCCAAAGAACAGAGACATGTCGAGTGTAGCACCTTTGTCGTCCATGATTGATAGTATACGCTAGGCTTGGGATACACGCCAGTATTGAGAAGTTCGGGCTGGCTTGGAGGCTGATCTAGTCTGACCGATTTGGATGAGGTGAAAGGAAATAAGTTCGACTGGGAACGTCGAGCTATTATATACTGTTTCTCTGTACACATTATCGAGGTGATATCTGGATCTTCATAGCCATGTTTTCTATTTCGTTAAGTAAAGCCGAGTCAAATGCCCACACAAGGGGCTACCTTATGTCAGAGTCGCAGGTCAGTATCTGAATTCACCCATACTTTAGGTGAAATATGGGCAAATATCCTACAAAACAGCTTTGCGATCTTGTTAGATTGCAGCCGGAATTCGCCTATCAGTTTTGGGCGTGAATCAACAAGCGCAAGAGAAGCCGATGTTGGACTACCTTAATTGTCGGAAACAGCGTTGTGGTCGTTCACTTTCAATCCCTTTGGGATACCTCAGTAAAGTGGGCCGGAGCAGACCTAGCTAGGTGGGCAGGAGAACCCGGGCCCCGCAGGCCAGCCAGGTCCGATAAGGCGTAAAAAGCGGCAAGTGTGCCCGACATGGAATTCATCTTCCCCCAATCTCGATGTTCTGTGCCATGTGCGACTTTAGTCCCTTCCCGTGAGGGCTATGTTCAAGTCTGTGTTGTGCCTGTCCGATAAGCTACGGTACGCCCCCATTCGCCCTCCGCACGTTCACAACAGCAACATCCACAGTGGGTTGCTGCCATAAGCAGCAAAAGCATCTCCATGTGCAATTAAAGGTCGTGAACAATACGCATTGCTCCGAGATCAGAACAGCAACTTGATCAGGTCTATATAATGATGATAGTATCTCGCTACAACCAGAGACAATTCAATCCTATTCGCAGACTAGCGTCCTAGGCCATTTCATTTGCGAATGAGAAATGAGGGAGCAACTTCGGAAAGATATTGGTGAAGAATCACAGAGATAGGTTTCGTTCAAGGTTTATCGGAATTTACGCTCTCCAAGTATGGTCCAGTTCTCTAAGAGTATTGCCGGGCTTCAAATCTGAAGCTAGCTGCTTATTTTACTTGACGCATCAAAAGTATAACTACTCTCGGAAATATATACTCAAAATTGGAGACAGAAAACCCAGCTTTTCTCCTTGGCTAGGACCATAAATTCGGATGTGTTCCCTAATTAGGAACTATCATGTTAATTGAACCAGCCTTAGAGATAACTACACGATGAATGCAATGGCCTGAAATGTTTCGTGTATTTGCATGATTGATAGGCGTGAGCTAAGCGTGGCATGATCTGAAAGGATTCGCTCGGTTACATCATCCAGTGATTGTCGCAAGCCAAGCAGTCGTGTACGATGACTTATTTGTCTTACCTGCAAGATCCTCGATTTGAAGCATTCCTAGTCATCACCAACGATGTTACGTAGCGTGTATATGCTCATTTTGCAGTTAGTGTGACTCTGCCTTGCCAGATTTATCGAAGCTGCATTTCGTTGAGGTGGTCCTGAGTAAGCAACAGCAGTTTGTGGCCCAGTTGATGCAACCAGACTAGGTAAGTCCAGAACCGGGGATAGGGCTCGTATTCGCAATGCTTCGTTGCCCGATCTTCGATAATCCATCTCATGGAGATGTGGAAGCTTGAAATTTTGTTTCGACTACTTTCTTTTGTGACCTGATGTTTACAAATATGACATGGCGTGGTTGCGTAAAACACCGTAACAGCTAGAGAGACTTGGAGTCTAGTACCTTGGGGTTTGAGATCTGAAATTGTAGCTACGGGTCGTCAGCGTCGCTTAGCTATGACAAGCCTTCACGCGTCTTCTGTTTGGCTCGTCTCACATAGGATCCTGAATATTTCGGGTGTTCCGGAGTGCTCATACTATTAACAGATTTGTGAAGTGTGGCGGAAACCCCAATACGAGGCGGCACATCGCAATGGAAGTCCGCTTCCTGCGTTCTCCCTTGGTGTGCAGATTCACTATCACTGGTCTTGTGATGCGTGCTTGTGGCTACGAGGAGGCTCGGAATGTAACATCTCGTAAAACGAGGCCCGCAATTGCATGTCTTTGATCGCAGATTCGGTCACTGCAGTTGAGGGTCTCTACCCTTGTGATGTCTCCCTTTTAAGAGCATAATGATCCACGACTAGGCTGATGAAGTGTTCGGAGGGAATATTTAATGACTCGATTTCCCCGTCACTCAACTCATCCTAAACATCACACCATTGTCATTCATTACTTCCGCAACTTCCCACAATTTATTCGAAGCTCTGTAGGTGTAATCCTAGTTCAAACGACATTACTTAGCGCGAAAGCTACTAACACGGAGATAGGACACAATGCGCTTCGCAACTCTTACGCTCATCGCTCTCGCGTCAGTCGCTGTGGCTACCCCGGCTCCCCAGGCTGGTTTCCCTCCGGTGGAGGATGTCTTGATCCTCGACTTCTCTACCCGACACCAGCCCGATGGAGCGGTAGACAGCGTCGGCCTTCACATCACCGCTCATGATGCCGATAATCTCTATTGCGGGCTTACCGGGGAGGTTCTTCTTGGAGAAAAATATGCTTGCGGCAGTAGCAAATACAGCTTTGCCCTTGTAAAGGGGGTCTATGACACCTGGGGTGTTCGCATTTATCATCGCTGGGGTGTTGCGTAAGTTTCCCTGGTTCATTTCATCTTCTTCTATATCATCCACTGACTTGGAGTTCAGAAGCGGCGCCTCTGGCTACAGAGATGTCCCCACGTACTGCCACGCGGGTCCTTTGGGCTCTACGGTCTGCACCAGCCAGGGGCCTGTCAGCCTGTATATTGATGCTGTGCCCAAAGATTGGTAAAAAAGGAACAAGTCTGTCTGAGGATCTCAGATTGTTTGTTGAGAGAGATTTCACGCGATTTCTTCAAATCACAGATCCATCATGAGCCCTCACTTGGGTTATGACGATTGACGAGACACCGGACACTGCTCCCGCCCGGTCTTCCCGATATCGCAATGCATCAAATGACTGAGAGTATTTATCTTGAATCCTATAGTTACTCAGTTTATAAAAATTCGGGACAAACCGTTTCAGCAAGGAGTGCCTCCCCCAGTACACATTGGGAGTATGGATTTCGACCCGCACCTAGAGACGTCACTCACAATATCAGGTACCTTATCAGATATGTCTTAGTCATTGAGATTGCATGAGGTTTTACATCTTTCAAGGGCGAAGAGCAAAAGCAAATCATTCGTCATTATCTTTGGAAAATTATGCCAATAATCTCTCTGATTGCCTTCGTCATTTTTGAACGGCTGTAAGGTGCTTCGAAATTTGACGATCAAATACTAGGTAGCTCGAAGTTACGGAGGCCTCAGGCCTCCTCCTCGATGAATGCTGCTTTGCGTTCTTCATCTTTCGATTCATGTATGATGTTGCTTTTCACGACTGCTTCAGAAAACGCCGCTGCGTTGTTTTGCATCTGATCTCCTTGCTTTCAACTGTCGCCCAGTTACCGTCGACACTCAGTCGTTGATATGCCAGCTCCCTCCCTGACGTGGTGTTGAAGTTTAGAACGTACCCACCATCTCGCTGTCTTGAGGGTTCAATGGAGGTTGCCTGAACGGCACCAGGAAGAGAAACTACTCTGTTTGTTCCCTCCATAAGATCAAATGAGGCCCCAGCTTTTGACATGACGCGAACGTCAAACCGGGCACCGGGGCTTCGGTCTCTGGAGCAACTAACTTGGAAGCTGATCGGGTATGTGTCTTTGGGGAGGGCTTGGTCAAGCGGTGTTAGACTCATGCTAATTGCATCGTCAGAGCCAATGAAGATTGCCGAATCATTGAGGCTCATGCGTGTGGTGAAGATAGAGCGGTCCCTCGTTGTGTCATTACGTGCATGATGCACATAGAAAAGCTCTGTACCATCCAAACTTTTCCTGGTGACATCTTGCGCGCCAAATTTGATTCTGATGTCTGGAGGAGGTGATGCCACGATACTTCCGTGGCCAGTTGAGTAGATAGGGAACTCTCCGTCGGGTTTTTGGGAAAGAACAGGGTTCTTGGACGATTTTTTGAACGGCCCTAGCGGTGATTCTGCCGTCGCAAACCCAACACCGTAATTGGAAGCTTCGTAATTGTTCGCACTATACGTCAGCATATAAACCGACTTGTCGTCACTGCCGTTTCGTGTGATAACCGTGCTACCTTCCGACCAGCGGCGGTTCTTCTTCGTGCCATTGAACTTGACATAATCATCCACGTGGTAATTCTCCCAATCTTGTGGATCAGCGCCGTAAGAGATAACTGTCTTCCAACCGTCTTTGCGGGGAGGATCTCCAATCTCGCCAGTGCCGTTGTAGGAGGTGATGTTCGACGGCAATTCGGGAGCATTGTTCGCGTTTAGGTTTATTTGAGAAGACGCGATCTCAGGCATGGTTCGTGCAAACGGGTCATCCCACCATTTCCGGTCCAGCTCAACCACAATGATGTTGGATTCTTCGATATATTTGCCCAGAGTACTGTCCCAATTCCAATTTCGGTAGGCATTGCGTGAGGTGTACAAGTAAATTCGGCCGTCATTATCGAAGAAAATGTTGGGATCTATGGTAGGTATGTATGTGCCCTTTGGCGCAGCTTCACCTTTGGCCAGACTTTCTGGCGGCAGCATTTGCTGATCATCCATGACCAGGTTAATGTCGTGATAATCCGGATCATAGGGGTAGTAGCCGATTGGCTCTGATCGAATCTCGTTGAAAGGCCCTGTAGGCGAGCGGGAGACGGCGATTCCTAGCTTGGAAGGCTCTTCGAACTTGGAATATCGAAAATGGTCTTTGGCAAGGTCTTCCCGTAAACGACCAGCGAAAATGAAAAAGTACCATCCGGTTTTCTCGTTGTAGTAGGTTTCAGGGGCCCAGTACCAATCTCGGGCCCAGCAAGCTTGACCACCATCAATCTGTTTCATCTGATCATCGTAACAAGCTTTTAAGACGCCTCCAGGATGTTTGCTCCATGTCGAAAGGTCAGGGCTAATGTAAATTGCAAAGTGGTATCCTTCATCAGCCCCCTCGGTGGAATACGCATAGTACTGGCCCTTTTCAGAGTCGTAAAAGACGTGAGGGTCCGCGGCTGCATGGCGAGCTGAGTTGTAGAACTTGGGGCTTTGGTCATCTCCCTTGTCTGAGTCGGCGATGACGGCAAGTGGTAGCAGCGATGCCACAAGTAGAGCAGCAATGCGCCGCATATCGAGAAGAGGGTTCGGAGCTTTGAGCCAGTGGAATCTTCGTACAACAATCGACTGAGAAGATGGGCATGTTTCCAGGAGATTATAGCCATCCTCTTATACCGCTCTCCCTCGACGCTCTGCTCGCCCCTCTTTCGAATGCGACATGCGACGAGTGCATCTTAAAAGCCCGAGCAACAGGTTACGGCAATCCTTCATCCCATCGGAAGAGTGAACCCCTTGTCCATTGTGTTGTAAACAAGGCGCGAGCCTCCCAAAGATCCACAATTCCCCCTCACATTGGTTGGTGCTTTCAGTTGGGTGCGTCATCCCTCGCCCTGGGGTACACTACTTTTCTGGGTTGGTTCCTCCGGGACGAGGTAAATGGAGGGATGGGGTAGTATTGAAGTACTGTGAGCACTAGCGAGGGGGACTCCAATTGTATGTACAGTCTAATTTACTCTCGATAACAGAGTAAGCTTTCCAAGCTTGGCAATGTCATTTGAAGGCATCGGCCTAAACTTTGTCCCTTAATATGTCGTCCACGAGCTGGAACTGAGAAGCCAGCAAATCTAAACCTTGCCTAACAACTTCGGATGTTATCGAGCCGAACCGTTCGAGGAGATCAGAGGACTTTGGGAGAGAGAAAGTATGGGCGCATCCTGGGACGCGCGATGCATACAAGGCCCAAGGAAGTGTATCATTGACAGCACTACCATGTCACTCGAGTCACAAAGCATTCGGTCATGACGGGCACTGATGGGGATTTTAGTGTCGATCTCATGACAGGACCCAGGCCGGGTGATCTCTCCCCGTTGGAGCGCTTCCCGTTGACCCCGCATCCTAAGTAACTTCTCCGCCCACAGTTGGTTCAAATGCTGCTTAAGGTACCTCGTTGAAGGCTCTGGTGCTTGTCTTGATACTCGTAAGATTTGCACGGCCCGCGATTGGAACATGCTTCCCTTCTATTCTTGCCAGACTCTTCTCGGTAGTCGCTTTAGTCTTAACTTCCCTATTCGCAGTATCACGTCTTGTGAGGTTTTCATCCTGAAACTAAAACTATTCATTCTCAACATATTGAGCTGGAAAGAGCCACAACATCCATCATGTCTACCTATTCTTGCCCTCTAACACGGGAATCAGCCATTTGTGAATACAACTTGCCAAAACGGCGCTGGGTAAATTTGAGGGGCCAAAAGGAGCTGCGGCGTTGGTGTCCGAAGTTATTGAAGCCGCCGACTTCCGTCGTGACGAATTCAGGTAGAGCATTTGGTAGATGAATCGACGCAGGTAATTGGGTCTTCATCACGAGTCACGACCGATTTCGGCCTTGTCATAAGTCCTCCCCCGCGATGGGCCAGGGAATGCGGGGTTCAGCCATCCCACGCTTAGGTCCGCTATGCGGGGGATGGGGCCCAGCTGATTTTCGTACCAGCACCTGTCCGCACGCCTGAAATCATTCTCGGCGCCCACGCATGATATCTTTGCCGTATGCCAGGAGTTGGAAATTCAGCTGGACTTATATCCGACGCAGGGTAAACGCAGTTCCGCTCTTGTGTCAAGCCGGATATTCAATGTCGCGGACTCTGATATATAGAGACTGAGGTTTGCTCCATTTCAGCGTACAATTAGGGTGGAGCAAGGCTCCTGCGTCCGGTCATTGAGTGAATTCTGACTCGAAGCACTACCCAAGTCTCCGTCCTTGCCCACTTGACTTCGCATCGTGCGCATTTCATACTTGCGAGTAGGATATTCGAAGTCCTTACCAATCACCAGTTGTCCAGACATGACGAGCCACCAAGGCATAATCTCTTTTGCCATTATCGGCACCGGTCTGATTGGTCCGAGACATGCTAGGACAGTCGTTCAGAGCCCCGATGCAGAGCTTGTTGCAGTGGTCGATCCCGCGCCCGCTGGGGCTCAACTAGCAGCTGAGTTGAATGTAGCACACTTCACATCAGTCAGCGACCTTTTGCAATCGGAACATGTGCCTCAAGCTGCAATCGTTTGCACCCCAAACCACACGCACGTCGCCGTTTCGAAACAGCTTTCCTCGGGAGGCGTCCATGTGCTCGTCGAAAAGCCCATCAGCTCTGATATCCCGAGTGGCACCGAGCTACTGAGTCATCTCCAAACCACTGAGGTCAAGACACTCGTGGGCCATCATCGACGTTTCAATCCCTACATCATCAGTACAAAAAAGGTACTCGATTCGGGAGCTCTAGGCAAGATCATTGCCATTAACGGACTCTGGACCACCTACAAGCCGGGCGATTACTTCGAGGCTCCCACCGAATGGAGGCAGGGAAAGGATGGAGGAGTTGTCTTGATCAATGCAATCCACGAAATCGACCTGCTTCATCATCTCTTCGGGCCGATTACAAGAGTCCATGCGGAAAAAACGACTTCGCAGAGAGGTCATGAAGCCGAAGAAGGTGCGGCGCTCACGATTCGATTCAAATCAGGCGTTGTCGGGACATTCCTTATCTCAGACAACGTGCCATCACCCTACAACTTTGAGGCGGGAACAGGCGAGAACCCTCTTATCCCCAAGACGGGACAGAACTTTTACCAGATATTTGGCTCCGAGGGATCACTCAGCGTACCTGACTTGTCGATATGGTCATACAAGGGCACGAATAAGTCGTGGCATTCGGAGATGGCGAGAGAGAAGCTGGCGGTAGAAGATGGGGTTCCGTTTGAGCTGCAGCTTGCGCATTTCTGTCGTGTAATCCATGGCAAAGAGTCAGCTAGCTGCTCGCCGCAGGCAGGTCTTGGTGCACTGATTGTTTGCCAAGCAATCAAGGATGCATTGGAAGCAAACAGTACGATTGATATTCCGGACTATGATCTGTAGGTGAATTTGTAGTTTGAGTAGCTTGGGAGAAACAGGTAATCCAGTACAGCTTGAATAACAGTGACGGTCGCCCACACGAAGTGCATGGCTAGCATTCGACCAGGGTAAAGCATGATGCCGAAGCAGTGGTTTTGCGCATATTGAAGATGTCGTGCATCATTTATGTTTGTCTTTCTGGAAACTTGAGATGGGAAGCCAGTCAAGGAAGGATCGCAAATGGCGGGCCGCTGAATGGTTGCAGAATGTGGGTGGGGCCGGGCTCCATGGAAGGGCAGGTGGACGGATTGGCTCCTTTCCATTTCGGTCGGGGCCGCCAGCCGTCTGTCAGGTTGTGAGTGCGAAAGAGCCGATAAGGCAGGCGGCGGCCGGTTGCTTGCAGTCGTACCTACAAGTAAGGTAAGGTAGGTAGGTAGCTAGTTGCCTGTGACGGTGGTGACATCAAAGCTGGGATGTCCCTTCCTTGGAAGACGAAAGACAAGCAAACTCAGGCAGGAACGGAGAGGCCCCTTTCTGCGCTTTAGCCATCTGTTTTTTTCTCTGTTTCCCTCCGTTGCGCTTTCCCAACTTTTGCATTCCATTTCCTGATATCAGTCAGACCTGTTCCTTCGGTCTCTCTTCGCTTCTTGTCCTTTCACGCCAGTACCAGTCATCTTGCATTGGGCTCAGTCCGTCACTTTAGCGCCAGCAACGGACCCCGCGATAATTGCCTTGCTTCGTCCACCAACTCTCTCCCTGCACTCTGCGTGTTTTGCCCCGCTCCAGGAGAAAGCTATTCTGTCGCAATCGTCCTCCGCGAAACGAGAACAGACATACAATAGAGCTCCTTTCACATCTCCGAGCGATTTCACAATCATGTCTTCCGCAGCTCCCCACAGCAACAAAAGTGCCTCCAGCACCAATGGCGAGGTGGACATCAAGAGTAGGTTCACTGGGCCTACGCGGCTGTCCTCTTGCCATCCTTTGCTGACCCTTTGCGTAGATTTGGGTCACGTCGAAACCCCCAAAGTTGAAGGAACATGGACCGTCGAGAAGGCTCTTGAAATTTCTCCAGGCACTGCAGGACCTGCGGACGCCGGCTCACCGCTCCCTTACTTCCATCTGATTGAGCGCCTCAAGACAACCAAGCGGGAGGGTTGGCGCCGTTTTGGCATCGCGAGGTTGGTACCCCACGTCGCAAATCATCGCAAGGTATACAGATGTCGATGTTCGCTAACGCAAGGGCCTTGACAGAGGAGAATCTATCGCTGACCACATGTACCGCATGTCCCTTTTATCAATGCTCGCCCCGCCTGCCCTTGCGCCCCGTCTCGATCTCGCGCGATGCATGAAGATGTGCCTGATACACGACATGGCCGAGTCTCTGGTTGGAGACATCACACCCGTCGATGGCGTGGCGAAGCCCGAGAAGAACAGACGTGAGGCGGAGACGATGGACTTTATTACCAAGAACCTTCTTGGCAGTGTCTACGGCGGTATCCCAGGTGCCGAGATTCGCGAGATCTGGCAAGAGTACGAGGACTCCCAGACCCTCAACAGCCACTACGTACACGATCTGGACAAGATGGAGCTGCTTCTCCAGATGATGGAGTATGAGAAGCGCGGCCAGGGCAAGCTTGACTTGGGCGAATTCGCATACGTCGCGACCAAGTTCACATTACCCGAGACCAAGGAATGGGCGGACGCTCTGCTCAAGGAGCGCGAACATTTCTGGGGCACTCAGCAGCACGTCCACGGCGAGGATGGTATCGAAGGCGGCGTCCAGGAAGACCGGCGACAGCAGCAAGATGATTACTACGAGCGCAAATGATGCACGCGCCGAATAGATGATTGATGAGCGCTATGCACAGTGGTTCCGTACTTAAGTACAGATACGTGGGACTGTGAAACCTGCCAGCGGTGTTGGCCACCCTGAACCTAGACGCCATTACGTTGCGAAGGTCAGACTCTGAAATCGCGGAGGGAAAATCGAGTTACGGGTCCTGGCACAAGTTGCTTGCATTACATGGTGTTGCATGTAGCATATGATAGATAATACCTAGATCTTAGAGAAAAGCTAGGCCAACGATGATGATTTTATCAATATGAATTAAGGAGTATGCGCGTCACGCGTGAGGTTCCCGGGTGTGAGTACTTCCCGATACCGACGGCAGGCCCTGGGTCACCGCCCCGTTGTGCTGCCCCTCTGTTTACATTCTTGCTGAGCCACGCGCTTGGACCTTCAGATGATCAACCACCCCAGCAACCGATGGCGCCTTCCTTCTTTGAGACAGCTACAAGTCCTTTCGCTTAACAAAAAAAAAAAAAAAAAAGAGGCTGGCTTTTTTTCCCTCCCCTGGGATTTTCCGGGGGAAAGGTACAGTGCAGGGAACCTTGAAGGAGCCGTCGCGAGACCCTGAGAAATATTAATTTTAATGTCAGCTTGACACTGACAGACGTGCATCACCGGGTGGTGCGGAAAGGCAAAGCGAACGGAACAAGATGACACGATATGCAGCTATACTGTTAGGCTCACTGTATTAAGAAAGAAAAAACGGGTGCACCTCGATAAACCCCCTTGCCCAACATCCTTCCTTGCCAACCTCCCATCCCTCTTCGCCTCGTCTGAGTTTTAGTGTCGACTTTTGATTCAGGGACTGGCGGCGGATACGCATACATTCAGGCCGATACTCCGTACAATTATTGTGTTGTCGGTGTGCCTTCCCTTCATCGCGTCTTCTTTTCTTTTTACCATCTGCATCGATCGACGTTGGTTTTCATTCCGATACTGAGTATCCGTACCTAAGTACAGGCGAACCATTTCTACCTCATACAGCACATCTCCAGACTCTCGGTACCTACCTATTCCCTTAGTACCTTTCTTTCCCTTGCGTTCTTCCAAAGAAGCGCATGACAAACTCGACGTCACCCTGAGCGCCATCACTTTTTCTCAGGGTCTAGACCAACCAACCGACACACGCTCGACATCCAATCAAGACACTCATCATCAACGGCTGTTGCCGGCACTCGAAGCTCTCCCCAACTCCAGGACCGAGCTTGTTGGTTGCCCATAGCTGTTCCTTGCTACTTTCCAGGTCACCCAACCTATTTCGCCCCAGGGACCCCCCCAAAAACCAACTTGACCGCGCCGCTCTTCTCCAACCCGACCACAGCTGCCTGCCGACACATCAACGCATAGGCCGAGTAAGCACGCGCGCATTGTCAACACGGGAATCCTTCTTCGCTTCATCTTCGAGCGCTTCCTTCCCCCATCTGACAGCGCTCGCCTGCTGCCAGCCATCGCACGGCCTGTTGCACGACGAACAACCAACGAGCCAGCGCACCACGACTCGTCTTCTGCACACCACCCGACACCCGAGACTCAGGCCTGGGATTTAGCTTCCGGATCGATCATGAGCTTTCGTTTAGGCTTTGCGACATTGTGAATCACCACACAAACACCACAACAGTCACCGCTTCCGCCCGACCCCTTGCCGTGGTTCCCGCAACTCCTTACCCTGCCTCACCCGTGAGCCCTTCGAGATCCCTTGTTCCGTCGCCCTGGCCTCCGCCGCCTGTACCGACCTGCACCATGGCCTTCACATCCCAGTACCGAATGCCCGGTACCTACTTTGACGCACAACCCGCCGGAGTTCACCCTGGCGTCTTCCGACCACCCACTTCCCCCTCCGCCGGTTCTTCCTACTGTTTCGCCAGAGCAAATAGCTACCACGCCGAAGCAAATACACCTTCAGCTCAGGCAAAAAGGAAACGGCGCAACAATGCCTCCCGCGAAGCTACTCCGTTGAATGAATGGAACGATGGCAACATGAATCTAGACAGCTCGAGCGAACTCCCTAAACACGAGACACCTTTACCGATCCGAGAAGCCCGATACACGCTGGCTGGCCAGCTCGAGACACCTGGTGCCGGCGTCAACACGCCTTACGACAACGGTAACTTGGATGAGAGCATGTACTCAGACGGCGATTACCGAAGAGCCTTGGGATCAAAACGACCACACGAAGAGATGGAATCGCCTATTCCAGGCCAGCCGACTGTACTGGTCCAGCCTAGCCATCCAGTCACCGGCGGCTGGAGTCGCTTTGCGTTCAACACTATTGGTGGGGTCGTAGGCAAAGTCTGGGAATTCTGCAAGGCTGGGGCCTTCATTGGCTTCTCTGCTGGGGGTGGCAAGGCTTATACCATTGATGGCCAGAGCATCCGTCCCTCTTCAGCTGCTACATCAGCTTTGTCTGCGCCCCAGCTAGAACCATCCGAGAAGTTCAACGAAAAATACGAATGGAGACAACAGCAAAGTCCCCAAAACTTGGATACCCCCGTTGGAGATACCACGCCGCCCGGAGGTTTCCCTCAGCCCCTCTTCACATCGTATGCCCGGGAGCCAGACCAAGCCCTGAACCCCGAACCCGAGGTTAGGGTCGAGGTCGAGGCCACACCTTCGCGACCCGCCGTAAAACGCCGACAGACGAGTGCTGGGAATCATGATGAGTTGCGAAACTGGGTTGTGGTGGACGAGTCAGCGCCAGGCAATAGGCCAGTTTCGAGGGCATCGATGCGACCAGCATCCCGCAACATGCGCCCTTCCCTAGTCACAGGCCGAAGGATTAGTGTTCCCAAGCCTCGTCTCAGCTCGATCCCGATCCACAACCGCCGCCAATCTACGGCTAGCCACGAATACAATGCTCCGGACACCGCACCACTGTCATATCAGGAACCAGCAAGCTTCGCTAGTGTGAGGTCTCCGGAGCCGCCGAGGACCTTGACCGGGCCCTCGCCGAGCCGAATCCCACTTCCAATGCAGTCTGCCGGCTCGAGCCCGAACCCGTTCGCGAAGACGACCGTCTCGGCCCGGCGTCAGAGTGCCATTCCGTCACCGGCACAATCTTTAATGAGCCCACCTATACGCTCGCATCGCCGCTCCAATAGCAGTGCCTCAGCAGCATCACCTCGCGGTAAACTCAAGGAATTCGGGGTGGACTCCATCCGCGCGAGCCCTCGGCTCGACGTGGAAGCCAAGAAGTTGGCAGCCAGACGAATCAAAGATGAACATGACACCGATGCGAGGATTAATGATTTCAACCAGAGGCTCAAGGAGATGATTCGCCAAGGCAGGGAGGCTCTTGGCACCAAGGTCGAGGTGGATGACGATGGATGCGGCTGGGAGGATGACTGAAAGAGAGTACTTTAATGGTCATGGAGGGCGTTTTGCTAGGTTCTTTACACACATCTGGGCAGGTCTGCTTTTTGGCGGGGAGTTGAAAGGATGATTTCGTCGCGTGATACCATCCACCATACATGCGGCATTCTTGACAGGACCCCAACATTACCTCGGGTCTAGATTTGCAAAGGTAGTTTCCAGCTCGAGATCTTCGAGTTTAGTAATACCAAGGGTCTATTCGATGATATATGTAGCCTAATAGGTTGTATAGCTCCACTATCCAAGCGCAGCGAAGTCATAAACTGTGCTTGGAATGCTGATCGTGACAACTTGAGGCTCTCTATCGGAAGCCACGTTGTGCTTCTTTGGCGCCCGGGATTTCCTCCTAATGCTGATTTCAAAATGCGACATCTTTACCAAATATAGCCTTGCCATACTTGCTATTGCCCCATGCCAACGCTGCATCCACATATTCAAAATCAGGACTCGCCCATTGGTGCGACCGCGGCACAGATGGACGAATCTCCTGCTTGGAGCCGCAGCTCTGGCATACCTCATCGTTGAGCTTCTCCAGCTCGGCCTCGCAGGCCTGGCAATGCTTGGCACAGAACCATCGCGGGCAGCTCACCACGACGCACTGTCGATCCATAGGCATGTGGTCGACTGTCAAGTGCTGCCCTCCGCAGCGGCACTTCTTGAGGTGACAATCGCGACCGGCATGGTCCGGGATACCACACATGCAGCAGCGGGCTTTGCACATCATGGCTGTGATCCCATCGCCCATATGAAAGGTGGGACATTCGCCCGGCGTACACATTTTGGGGCATTGCTTGGCGAGGTGTCGTTGGGGAAAGGGGCTGCAGCGGCAACGATTGCGCTTGGAGCTAGTGCAGGCGGCGACGTTGTGCCATGCCTGGCCGCAGTGGCCGCAGGGTAACGGGCAATGTTTCGTCTTGTGATAGCGGTCAAGGCAGTTATCGCAGGGATTCTTTTGCTCTTCCCGTGGTTGTACTGAAGCCTCTTGGACGCTGGTTTGTAGTCTCTGGTGGAGTCTCTGGAGCACTTCTACTAACGTGCGAGGGTCCATGTCGGGTGTTATCCCCAAGGCGTGTAGCTCAGCGGCGGAGAAGTCGAGACGCAAACGCCTGGGCGGCATGATTGCGGATTTCTATACGTAACGAATATCATATGTCCTGAGGGAGAAATTCTGGTATGATGATGTCGGTAGTTATAACAGCACCTGGAGGTAGTGGTGATGAGGCAACGGCGAGGTCGGAATGGCAAACGAAGGGGCCTCAGGTATCAGTGGCTGAACTGATGTAGACTGCAGTGCTTCCTCTGAATTTCAAACTTTTGTAGGAGTATCGCCGGTTCCTTCTTCACTGGTTAGGTACTTGGAAGACGGTATGGCTGGTTATATTCTGGTAAAAAAGGTCTTCCTCAATGCTGCCGCGGCGGTTGTTTGATGAGACGAGGTGCCGCTAAGAATTCACCGAGATACTCCGGCCACAAAAACGTGTCGTGCACGGCCCACTTATCAAGGGACACACAGTGTTGGGACATGGTGTAAAAGCTTCTAGTCAACTGTGCACCTGGAGTTGCATCCTCACAGGATCCAATGTCATTTCAAACCCAGCTCTTCCTCTCTTCTACTCGAATTCTATACCAACATACAATGTCGCCAGAGTCTACCTTGACTCTCTAGGTACGCAGACCAGGAGATTTCATGGCTCTACATGAGCAATCGATGCTCCGCCAATGCTCTACATCACAACTTATGCTCTCTTACGAAAATAGCCGCGATTAGTGCCAGCGCTGATGAGATGAGTGAGAAACCGTGGCTAAATCCCAAACCTTCGACGTACGCCTGCACGATGGCTGCTGAAACCTTTTCATCCGCATGATCGATGTAGTCAACACTCGATGTCGCTTTTGCGATAATCTACCCCAATTCATGTGAGTGTCCGCGACGGCTTGAGAGAATCATCGACTGGCCTCTCTGCTTACCTGCTTTCGCACAACTGCGCTGAGGTCCATGCCTTCCAGCAATGCGTCTAGCCGCCATCTCATCGTTTCCATCATGACGGCACTAACACATGACAGGCCGAGGATCATGCCGATTTGGAATGTCAAAAACATTCCCGACGTCACTGCGGCCTTGTGCTTGGGGTTGGCTGCGGCTTGAATGCTGATGAAACCCGCCGACTGTACCAGGCCAGCCCCAAACCCACCAGGTACGATGTAAAGCGACTCCCAAGCATTTGTATCTCCATGCCACCGAAGCAGCAAAAGCGAGTAGGAGAACATCGAAGCGATAGTCGCAATTATCAATAGAGATTTGTAACGACCAGTTCTGTGCAAGTCAGCATGTCGCTCCAAACAATTTGCATCTTCAGGATTGACAAACTTTCTGACCAGATATCCAGCAAGGACGCCACCGATGGCATTCCCAAAGACGGCGGGGAAGAGATGTATTCCAGCAACAGTGTTAGAGACACGCTGTGTCACCTGGAAATAGAGCGGGACGGAGAACATAAGGCCGAGTTGAGCTGCGACTTGCCCACCGCTAATGACGTACGTCAAGATAATGTCGCGATGCTTCAACAGTTCCAGGGGAAAGATTGGCTCTTTAGCCCACCACTCCTCAACGGCGGCAAAGAGTCCACCAAACACGACAGCTACGCCAAATAGAACGAAGATGAGCGGGTGGCTCCAAGGTATCTTGGTACCTCCAATCTCAATCGGGAGGAGAAAGGTCAAGATGAAGAGTGCCAATAAAGCAGCGCCAAGAAAGTCGATCCTCGCTAGAGAGCCCTTTTTGCCGTTGATGGACTTGCCGCTTGCTTCAACACCTTCATCACTCTTGCCCACTTGCTTGCCTTTTGGCAGGAAAAACCAACACAGCAAGACAGCAAGTAGGAAAATGGGTGCCTGGCCGAGGAAAGACCATCGCCATCCAATGGTATCGGCTAGCCAACCTCCCACAGGTCCACCAAGGCTTCGTCCTACTGTTGCGGCCAGGTTGATACCTGCTTGCCACGCAGCCACGTCACGGAGTGGGACGAGATCTATCAAGGTTAGCTCAGTCCTTCCATCAAGGGTCCTCTATCGTATTTTACCTGTCACCAAGAGCAGCCCGAGGACGTTCAATGCTGAGCCACCAGATCCTGAAATGACCCGTCCAAGCACGACTTGCCACATTGTGCGACCGACGCCGACCATTGCGCTGTGAACAGTCAGTTGACAATCATACGGATAACCTTGATCAAACCTACCATCCAACGGAAAACAAGGTATAAGCCACCATGAGGAGGGCACGCCGCCCGTAAATGTCACTGAGCTTGCCATACTTTCCGCCGTATTAGTGAATGGACTCACTTGAAATAGGTAGGGAAGGATGACGAACCAAAGTCTGAGTTGCCGCTCCTGCCAACGCGAAAGATACGAAGAGCCAACTGGAGTTTTCGAGATCATCAAATTCAGAGGCAATCGTTGGGTGCGTTGCCATCACCAAAGAGCCATCGGCGTTCGCAGTAAAAGTTCCAACCAGCAGGATAGACACGATCTTGACAACTGCCCAAGTCGAGGTCTTTCTGGCTTGTAGCTTTGCATCATCGCTGGCGGTTGCAACGGGTGCTACTTGTTCGACATCGACGCTCGAATCGACGACTTCTGACGGCCGTGTGAGATGCCATGGAAGGTATTGGCCGTCCGAGTATGCGCTAGACGACGAGGAAGTCAAAGAGCTCTCACCTGACGAACTCGACCCCCGTCGAGTACTCGACAACAAAGGCGACCTCTCGTCAACTACCCTCTGTGTTCCTTCACCACTTTGTAATGTCTTTGAGCGCGTCATGCTGATCGATTTGGTTGTGTGGAGGAGAGAATCACAGAGCCGCAAGCCAGCAGATGGAAGAAAAGGAAGGTGTCATCGGCTCTTCAAAACTCTGATGCAGCCGGGATGAACCTTTTCAGATCCGCAGTGGACAACCATGCCATGCGTCCGGCGTGGCACTCGGAGTTTCCCATGCCTTGGGGAGGAAGGCAACGCCGTGTATTGGCCAATCAAGCCTGGCATCATACCCAATGTTTTCCCTTTCCCATATCAGTCAGTCAATGGGCATCTGAGGAAGAGCTCTTTGACAGGGAAACAAAAATTGCCGATAAGAGGATGCAGGCTCGCCCGGCACTGGGGCTCAGGTATGGCGACATATTGCGCCATCGGCGCCATGCGACTTCGGACACCTCTCGGGTCCCCACACGGCCGATAGGACGGCGTTAACCGGTGGAATCAAGGCCATATTTGCTGCCTTCCCGGGAACCAAAAACTACTCGGACGGCTCAAATTCAACGACAGAGCCTACGGATTCTTCAATTCTTTTTCTGCGAGACGCTGCAAAACGCAGCCGCGTGTGGAGATTCTCAGCAAATGGCATCCCTAGCTTGGATCCCAGTCCGAGGATTGTTCCTCTCTCCTCCAGACCAGTGCGACATGCCGCAATTTGCGCTGTTGTGAGTTGGAGCCGGATCTCGCCGGATAACTATGTTTCACTGACTCATCAACACAGCTGACCAGACTTCTGAAACTCTGCTGTTCTCTGCGATCGCCGCTCCGGTACCGAAACCGTGTGTGTGCACGCCGGCTTAGATCGCGTCGCGACGAGCCGATTGTTTGGATTCTACAAGTTGTGTTAATCTGGTCGGCCCCCGGGCTTCTTTCATCTCCCGATTTCTCTGTCTTACTTCGGATAATTAAACCACTCGAGTCCTCGAAATTGAAACAGACGTGGGATCGTCATCCAAAGGTTGGGCTGCAAGTGTTTCAACTTCGAATTCCGTGAGGATCGTGGCATGTTCTATCTGATGACGCTCAATGGCGATGGAATTTAGACTGGCTTTGACAAAATATGAATTCTCTCAATCGATATTGGCAAGATTGGGAGACAAAGGCATGTTGCGCAAGTCCATAGCCAAAGCCTTCGGCCCACCTCCCAAGTTCCCATCGTGTCTCGACAATTGACATACGCTTGTTCCAGCTTTAGATTGGGTCTTGACTCCCGCTTTTCCTGGCCTTTCCTCTCAGTTGCTTTGCAATCAAAACGCATAAAGAATGGGCTTTTAAAAACCTGTAGGAGAAAGGAGGCATGCGCATGGGTGACAAGTCTGCGCCTATTGCGATGCCCTTAAATAGCAAACATCTCCACATGAATAGTCCATTTTAAACACACTTGAAAGTAAACAGTGCGGAGTATCCGTTTACTTAATCACCTCCGACCCTTAGCGTCCCCATAAACCGGCGGGATGACTCTGCATAATTACCCCAAGCACCATATCCGCGGCTGGGCGAGCTATGTTCTGGAGGACACTGCAGATGTAGAGTAGTATGGGGAGAGGAGTGAGCACTCTATTGTATGGGCGACCCACGCAACTGACCACAACCGAAGCCTCTTCTTGTATACATCTGACTAGCCGAGATAATATCTGCAATTTCCGGGAAAACTGAATATCAATAATCCATCCCGCGGATGACCGCAAAACCTTACTATGTGGGTTCCAGAGGGAGAACATTAACATTGTACGACGTACGAAGCGATACAAACAATACGAATGACTGTATCTACTCCGACACTTTACAGCCTTTCGGCAGTCTTTATAAAGACTAGCCTTGACGCCTTTGACCATCATGCATGATTTCCCTCATCAGACAATAATTGACAAATTACTTACCCTCAGTTCGACACCTCCAACACTCTTTACGACCAAGACACTTTTCAATCAAGATGCATGCAACTCTGAAAATCGCCATTTTCGGCCTTGCCTCTCTGGCTGCTGCAGTGCCATCCTCCCTCAACGCTGACGCCGGTGCACTCTTTGCCATTGAAAGTTAGTAAATACACGGCGCCCTTCGTGTTGTATATCTGTCCCTAATCAAGCTATGAAATTGTAGAGAGATGCACAGGACTCTATGCCAGATGCAACGACGACTGCTGTGGCTCGTTGACCAGCTGCAACTATATTCCCATCTGCGGCAATAACCGCTGCGTGTCATATGACCCCGCTATTACCTACAACCCTACTTGCAACTAAGCGTTTACTCAATGAGTGGGCTTAGTTGGATTGAGAAGTCCGACAACTTTTAGCCTTCCATATGTTGTAGGGGTTCTGAGGGGAGCAGAGAAAGACTGAGCCGGAATTGATACGAGAAATCTTCGAGTGGATCAGCTTCGTGAAGTCTTACTAAACAGAGCTCAAAGCCTCTACCCTGTCACTTCACCGATATTCTCCTTAGCTATAGAATATTGACTCACAAACTCATATACTCCCGTCCATCATTATGTCGTGGCTGTCAAGAGGGTTTCCCTAGCCTTGGTCTTTAAGTCTGAGAAATCAACCCCCATATAGCAAGCTGAAGTGAGTTAGAAGACGAAGCTTGTTTTCATTATTCCATATTTGAGACTCTCGCAAACTCACCGAGTGAATCCGGATTTTGAGTTCACTCGCATCAAACAACAGTCTCAACTTGTGTACCGTACCAACTACCTGAGACTGTACGACCTTTCCCACAATGATCGACGCCTCTATAAAACCCTGAACTTCCTAGTTACGCATTCTTCAGACTGTTAGAGTTATTTGTTGATCAGTACCTCCTAACTTAGTGACATATTTTCAGATGTGATGACTGGCATACCAATTTCGAGTTTGCCGATTCCAGTTTTGGAATGATGCGAATGCCCAGAAAGGATACTCATCATCAGTCTTGTGTGCTGTGCTTTCTACTTCATAACAGCTGCGATCATACGACCTACAATCACATCACATTCGGAGCGCTCGACATTACAATTAACCTTTAGGTCAGCCTAGAACTTGGTATTGGTTTCATAGCTATCATCGTTCCCTCAGTACGTCCAACCTTTTCCGGTAAGTTCTGAGGTTTGCAATCCAAACTTAGGCTCCGATGGGAAGATCCCTGAATACCGGCTAAGGGAATAATAATGCAGTTTGCCAGAGAAAACGGACTGTTCATGGAATTCCTCTCTCAATCATACGGACTCCAACTAGGACTTGGCAATTATCGGTTCCAATAGAGACACGGTCGAAAGAGCACCATAAAGCCGAATAAGACGTCGAGCTGTCAAGCCATGCAGAACTTTTGATTGTCGACATGGTATCGTGTAAAACGGTAGAAGAGAGTCTGATGACAGAGGTCTGGGGCGTAGCGCAATGCCTAAATATCTTAAAAGAGGCAGATGTTCGAGAAAGCTCATGTACCGGCATTAAGTGACGCTGAATACAACATGGTGTCTGAAGATCGCATATCAGGGCATCGCGGCACGCCTCGGACGATGAGCACAGGAGTACGCGAACGATGCTCGCTTGGATGTGGAAAAAATAGTCACTTATGTTTTTCTATATCTATTGAGGGTTTCTATTTTCCTGCCAAGACCACTTATTTCAGCTTTCTCAGGAGACAAATCCTTGCTAGGAGCTCCCGTCGGCGCATCCACCGCTTAGACTCTCGCGGCATCCTGACGGATTACAATGTTTGCCGTGTTTTGCTGGAAGAAGTCCTAATAGCAGCCAAATTGGCAAATTGGAGCCTACGAGCAACGTTTGCCAGCTGGAATGGAATGCCAAGTGTGGGCATATATCCTCGCAATATCTGGCAAGCCGACATGCCTGTTTCCTCTTGTTCTCCGACCATCAGGGGGAAAGACTGTGAGAGCTGGCTGGCACGGCCTAGTTGACCACACTTTCGCCCGTCGTGGAGCCTCTGATAGTAAGTGATCACGGAGCTCGGCATGCCCGAGCCGCTTCTGCGCCGTATGTGCCGGATAAGTCGGAAGGACCGGATGCCGCCGCCCGCCCGCTAGCAATGCTTCACGAGTGGATTATATGCCATGGCTAAGAGCGCTCTAAGGTAGCTCTGAGGGGTTTTCCGAGGCGTTTAATCGTCGTCGTTGTCGTCCTTGGCCGAAACACACGGGATCGTTTATAACTCGGCTGAGACGCAAGTTTCTGAATGATGATACTCTGTACCGGTATGTGTGCCGCGATCATAACCAAGACTTGCAGTATTTCTTCTTGTCACTTTCGTAATCTTCATAAAATCCTTCCCACATAACCCGATCAGCGCACCGGGGTCGATCAGGCTTGTCTTCTTCGTCTTCGGGGCAGTCCGGCAAGGCAGCTTTCCATTGCGCATCCGAACGGGAGAGCCACGGCTTTGGCAACGGCCAATCGCTGAAGTGGACCAGATAGGCTCTTGATACCTCGGCCATGGCGTTCCATTCCTCGTCGTCGTCGGGCGCAAGGTATTTCTGGTGCTCCTTGGCTCGGAATTCGCCGGTTAAAAGTGCAAGTCGACGATGCGGGAGGATCATGGCCGAGTCCTTGAACATGTGATTCATGACCTCCATGTCGAAATCCCCGGACTTGAGCGCCTCGCTCACAATCTTGTCATACCGCGACTTATTGGGCTCGATGAGCATGACATGGGAGCCAAGGACTTGCTTGACGACGGGCGTATCCTTCTCGTTCAGCCAGTAGGCGCGGGGGACGGCGACGGCTGCCATTGGGGCCAGAAAATAGTGATCCATGTTGTTCAAGACCTGCGAGTCGGAATCGAAGGCTAACACTCGTGTGTAATCTGTAAGATCGAAGGCGTGGAACTTGGTCAGGCTCTTGGACCATGTTGCCTCTCCCTTGTGTGTTGTGAGGAGACCAAAGGGCCGCAGGACGAGGTCCGGTAGAGCCTTTTGGATGGTCTTGATAGCTTTGGCCTCCTTTGAATCCCCTTCCACCCAAGTTTTGGGAAAGATCAGGACCTGGTCGTGTTTTGCGCCGAAGCGGTGCAGGCGATTGAAGTTAATCACCTAATTGTCTCGCATTAGCAAAAGGTCACCCGTGTATCACGCCGCCACCTAGAAAGCCATGGGGCAGACATACTGCATTACACAGGTAGTGAATGTCCGTCGCATACTGAACATAGGCAAATCGAGGTTCTAGCTGTTCGGTAGTCCAGAATGGCTTCAGCTCTGCAAGCGAGCCCGAGCTATTGAATGTGCCATTCTTTAGGACATTTTGTAGAGGGTTTGGTATGAAATTGTACTTGATCGACTGATAGCCCGTCAAAAGAACGAAGACAAAAATGCCGCAAGTCAGCGCAACGGCGCGCTTCGTCGATATGAACATGATCGACGACGAGGTGGAAGATGGATTGAGTTGACAGCCCACTTGATACCACGGAAGGATAGAGACTCAGATAGGGATTTGATTACCGTTTCTCAATCAACGTCCATGAACAGAGAAGTTGAATCAGGGGAAAAGTTACGAAAACCTTAACCTGCGCCAAAGGAACAGTTCCATGGCCTAGGATACCACCCTCCTTACTTGAGCCTGGTGCAGGCTGCAGCGATGCCCCTCCTCTTCAAGAAAGGAGGCTAACGGCATGAGGGACGATTTCCCGCTGACCTCGGAAAAGTAAATCTTCACCGTGAAGCACTACGGTTGAGGCAGGGCTTCCTGGCGCGAAAGACCTCGTATCCAATGGCCCAAATGTCAGACGGGTGGGACGCGCACCCATTTAGGGATGAATGACAGTCTTAGTCTCTTGGGGGTTCTTGGGGCCCGACAAGGGTGGTTACTAGCGCAAATCTAACGTTGACGCGGAGTGCCCGGAGCCGAGGCCAAGCCGTCAGGACAGTCACTGTCAGTGTTTTGGGCCATTGTGGTTCGGAAGAAACGTGGTTTTTGAACAAGAATATAGCCTTCTCGTGGCTGAGGGCTTGATTGGGTCGATGTTGAATCCATCAAAAGTATTGTATCGATTGTTAACGTCAGTCCCAGCTCCCCGGTACCGAATATTGCCCAACTGGCAATTCCCTTTCTTGGGTGGCTTGACTATCGCTATTTTGGCTTGGGATGGATCCCCCTGGCTTAAAGTTATGAAGTGGAGAGTGAGTCGATATGAATCACTGATCAACGAGTCAACAACACGAAAGGGTCAGCCCCCACTATGTCCCTGAGCTACCGCAACTTTCGGATAGTGGTTCCGGCGCGGTGAACGCGGTAGGAAAAGTTGCTACCAGTATCCAAATGAAGAACAGCAGAATGGCCACAATCACGGTGGAAAACGCACAAGATCATCGAGTATTCGAAGAAACGGAGGATACTGGTGCTATGGCGCCAAACAACTTTGCGCGTCGCCGATACGCTCGAATCACGGCTGGCGTTGTTCTTGCGATGGTAAGTTTCCATACCCCATTGCCTTTTCGCGAGGACAAGATCTGACAGAACGTTTGGAGCTCGTCTGTCAAAATGCGGCCAGCATATTGGTGAGTTGACAGCCTTTGACTGCGCCTAACTTGCAGTTCAATCATGGACAACTAGAATATGACTGATGGGGATCGGTAATTAGTTGCAGCACAAGGTGCAGAGCCGCCCGCAGGACAATTCCGCTCGGTATGAGCCTCTCAGTGCTGTTGTCCTTTCCGAGGCTTTGAAGTTGTTCATCTCCCTCGGCGGTACTGCTTGGGCTTACAACAATACTGAAGACCGCTCGGCAGTTGCTTCCGGGTTTTTAGATTACGTGCGGAGCGGCCATGACAATGCTGCCATACCGGCTTTCCTGTACACGCTCTCGGCCACCAGCCAGAGTTTTGGGGCTTACCACCTCAGCATTCTGCCGTACCTGATGCTGTCGCAAGTCAAGCTCATCCTAACACCTATCTTCAGCAAAACCCTCCTGAAACAGACACTGCACCCTCATCAATGGCTGTGCCTGGTTATCATGGCAGCAGGAATAGTCATGGTACAGGTCGGTTCTCTACCGTCGTCATTGAGCGATGTCAACAGCAGTGACGCAGGCAAAGATAGGGCCTTCGGAATTGTCGCCATGCTGATGGCTGGTTGCTGTAGCGCTTTCGCTGGTGTCTATATGGAAGCTGTCCTGAAGTCCTCAGATCGTACTTTCATGGTTCGCAACGCTCAGCTGGCGGCATACGGCTGTTTATGTGCACTCGGCGGCTTCTTGTGGCAGTCAGACTTTAGCGCCAAAGGTTTTTTCCTTGGCTACACGACGCTGGTCTGGGATTTCGTTCTGCTGCAAGCCATGGGAGGGTTTCTCGTCTCTTGGGCGGTCCGTGTATCGAGCACCATTGCCAAGAATTATGCCCAGAGTTTGGGTTTCCTGTCAGCCTCGACGATTCCCTTACTCTCGTCACCTCACGCATTGAGCTTTGAGGTAAGGACACCAAGAGTCCTCGACTAAGATTTTCGAACCCTTGAACTGACTGGCTTGTAGTTGTACTCTGGTATCGCAATGGTTCTAGGAGGCGTATTCGGATCTCTCTGGAAGACCGAAATGCCTGTTGATTCCAAAGTAGACAGTGACGAAAGACCTAAAGAAGGATCAATAGTTTAATGACGAATGACACGTACGTTCATGGCCTACGGCTTCTCTTCCTAATCATCTCACTCGATAAAGCAGAGGTTCTGGATTAGAGACCATGGATGGTTTCACCACTTCGAATATTCTAGTAAATAGAGTGAGTTCCCTGATGTCCGTGAACTCGGGGGAGTAGTTGCCTTTACGGCCTCGCTCACATTTCTTTCCGCACTTGTGGCCAAGGAGCAGCACTTTGCTGAGATGATTCTTCCGCCCTCCTCGAAGAGCGCAGCTAATGGTGCTGCCGCCGGAATGTCGATAAAATACAATAGGGACTGCCTAGACTATGCTGGATATCCACGCTTCTCACTTTCCGTGAAGAAGATGACCATGCGCCATAACTTTTTGACCATATCCTCTGCCTCGTCATCCAATGCCTGCGGTAAGTGTTAGAGACCCTACAAAGAGAAGAGAGGGGCATGGTATACGTACCGCTGCAAGCTCTTCCACCAGCTCGGAAGGCTTCCCGTGCTTCCGAAGATGCTCCTCCACGACCTCGACAAGCATCTCCTCTTGTACGCCTAGATACTCGACAATTTTCTTCTCGACAAACGGACGGAGCTTGTCGCGGATGATGGCATCGTCCAAGAAGTCCCACTGCACAGCCCAGTTCCATAGGCCGTCTTTCTCCGACGGGATTTCCTGGGCAAGAGCACGAACAGCCTTGCTAATCTCCTCCTCGGTCATCTTGTCCGCCGCAGTCGTAGGCTCGAACTGGATGGGGATAAGCTGTCTTCTCGTTGTGCTGTCTTGTTCCTCGTCGTCAAGAAGGCCCTCCACCTCAGCAACAGTCCGTCGTTGAGGAGCCACGCGCTGGGCTTGTGCGCGCTGAGCCGCAGCACCCAGCGACAACTTGAAGGGCGCTGGTGCGGACGCGGCTGCTTGTTGTCGCTGCTCCATCTCATGGGCTTGTTGGTCAAGGAAGGAGTCGGCCATGCCGCGCGCCCTCTCCATGTCTGCAGCCTCTCTCCGGCGCTCGTCCTCTTCAGCCCTCCGATCTGCCTCGTCCCTGGCTTGTTCGTCGGCTCGTTCGATTTGTCGCTTCTTGACCCAGCCCGCATGGTCGCGGTAGTACAAGTGGTTCTTCCTAGACGCTTCTCTTTCGTCATCCCAGGCCTTTTCCCGTTCAAGCTGCTCTTGTACGCGTCTCTCCAGCGTCTCCTCATCCTGCAATTCACGGTCCTTTTCTCTCTCCAAGGCTGCAGCACGGGAACGCTCTCTGTTGACCCATTTTCGCTCCGCCTCAAGATACATCTTTTCTTCCTCTGACTTTTGCTTCGAGAGCTCCCGCTGGTAGATCTCCTCGTCGTCGGCCTCCGTATCTTCGTCTTCGCGGTTGATAGACAATTCGGCATTCGAAATACCTCCGTTCACGAAGGATGTCGCGCGGGACCCATTCTGTCCTCTGGGGCCCGACGGCGCGTTGTGCATCCCACGAGGTCCAACAGGAATATTGTTGGTGTTGGAAGGCGGCGGAGAATCCAGCCGTGATAACCGTGAGGGTCCATTGCGGTTCCGCTCCATCTCCTCCATCTCTTCCTCACGTTTGAGACGCTCCAGATCTCGCTTGTTGCTGCGTTCTCTGAATGCTGCGATCTCTGCGGCGACAACCTCTCTCATCTCCGCAGGGATATCTGCAAGCTCATCATCTTGAGCCAGAGGGATATTGACAACCTCGACGTTCTCTCCGGAGTTGCTCATTGACACATCGCCTTCGCCGTCGGCTGTGCTTGCGGATTTTGGATACACTAGGTCCCGGATGACTTGCTTCAGAGTATCCTTGGCAGTCTTTGTCCGAGATTCGGCACTACTATCATCGCCTCTGCCTTCTTTGTAAGATTCGATGTACTTGAGAGAGTTCGGGTCAATGGCGACTTGGAGCTTGACCATTTCAACTCCATCGAAAGAGTCGCCTTCCGATGATACACTGTCGGATGGGGTTTGTCGCTTCAGGGGGACCTCGATGTCTTGAAGCAGATCGCAAGCGGTTGCAAAGGAATCGGCATCCTCGTACTGCGCGAAGCCAAACTTTGCTCCTTTGCCGTCAGAAAGCACTGAAGTAGCGACGTCCCATCTCCGAAGTTTTCCGACAGAATTGAGGATGGACTCGATGCCTTCGTCGCCTCTTACGCCTTCAGGAATTTTATGGATGAATAATGTTCTCAACTTCTCCTCGTTGGTCGGCGGGACCAGGGACTGCATGTGCTCGCGTGCGGCAGCGCGGGACTGATCGTACCCGCGGTCCATACCCAATCCTTGTCGTCCGCCGCTCGGAGTATTGCTATCTTTTCTGCCGACATCAGGGCCGCCTGGCTTGCCACCTATAGTACCAAGACGAATGACGGGTGCACTGAAGTTGATATTTGGGAGGTTCGCGGGAGCTTGGAAGTTAGGCGGCAGGCCGCTTTGTCGGTTAGCTTGGGCATTGTTGGACTGCTGGACACCGGGAGGTGGTGCCATTCCCGGAGCGGAAGACATGCCTGGCGGAGGGCCTGAAGACGGGTTAGCAGAGCATCTTGGTATCAGAGCATTGTATTCCGAACCTAGACCAGGTGGAGGAGCCATGCCTGGGGCGCCATTGGACCCCGGGAAGCCACCATAAGTCGGAGGCGGCCCATACGGGTTTCCTGCTGCAGAGATGAGTGAGCAATAGATCGCTTGGGGGTTCGAAGATTGACGCACCTCCATAAGGATTGTAGGACATGGTGGGAAAATCTACGGGGTTGCTGATGGAAGGGCAGATGTGGGATCGTGGACCAACGATTCTGCAATTGGCGAGACTGGCTTGAGTCGCGGAGATGGTCAGTGATAAACAGATTGTGGGTGATGCCCCGGTTCAGACCTCGCCGCTCAGATCGAAGGAAGGGAAGGGGCGACAGGGTCTGCGTGAGAGACAGAGGCAGACGGAGGGCGTGGCGGTAGGTGGGACGCAGAGCTCCAAAGTCGAACACTGAAGCTCTTGGTCTGTCTCTGTAGTCAAGTCTCTCAGGGCCTGATCCAGTTCTCTCCAAAATTCGGCGCGAGGCCAACGCGAATTGGCCTTGTAACGCGACAGCTCTTTGATTGGTCGATACTCAATAGTGGGTCCCTCGGCATCTCGGAGATACCCTTCGCCGAATAAGCTCCCAATCGATTGAATTCGCGATTCGTCAGGTCTGGGCTTTGGAAGGAAATATTGTAAGGTCAATCGCCAAAGCTGCGCCAAATCGGATCCCTTTGCATTGTGCTCGCCTGGCCTCGGCGACACTCAATCGCAATGTGAGCATCTCTCCTCGTATTACTGTTGATTCTTGACTAACCAATGTCTTCTAGGGCGTCGGAAATCGGGTTGCTGAGCAAAAGACTGCTCACCACCTGCACCATTCGCAGTCCCTCTCTGCATGCATCACAAGCGTTCCGACAGCCATTATGGGCTCACCCGCGTGCCTTTGCGACCTCTTCAATCCTCTCGGCCCCTCCTCGCTCCGGTTCACGGTCAAACCTTGAAGGCCTGTTCTCCAAGCCCTCCCCGACGAACTACGCCCAACCGCCGCCTCCGCCGCCGGCCATAGACGCGGCTGCCCCTTCTCAGGAGAAGTCCGATAGTCCCTACGCATACGACGCCACTTCTGACACATTTGATATTTCCAAAATTATCGCCATGGAATCGGATGAATTCCTCAAGAAGCATTACCCCACTAGCAAGCAAGAGCCCGACCTGCGCACACGTCCACAGACTGGTCGTACCGTACACCTTACCAGCAAGACGGATTTGGCCAAGGCGCTGAAGCTTCTAGACTTCAACTGCAGGAAGAACAAGATCAAGAGACAATTCCAATTACAGAAGTTCCATGAGCGCCCAGGAAAGAAGCGTAAGAGACAGAAGAGCGAGAGATGGAGGGCTCGTTTCAAGGAAGGGTTCAAGGCAACAGTGGCGAGAGTCATGGAGCTCAAGAATCAAGGCTGGTAGGAGCGACCCTCAGCATGTGACAATATCCCTGGAGAAGATGTAGCACATGGTGTTTACAAGATGTACAATATGTAGAAATCACAAAGATTTTGTTGTCCCAATGCGTTACTTGGGGTGTTATTAGCGGCTTGAACTCTGTATTTCGAGGGCGCAGAGTGTGTATAGGTGTCTACAGAGATTTCTCAAGTGGTTTCCTGGACGGCGAGGGGGCCGGGCTCGTCTTGATCCTCGGCCGGCTACGGAATACAGCTTCCATGTCTTCAACGGCCATCAACTCCTCGGCAAGTATCGATGCATCGGGGTCCAGCTCCATCGTCTCCTCCTCAACGACGGGGATCTGGCTCTCGGTTCGGGCTCGAGGCCGTGACTTCTTCAGCGATTTTTGTCTGTCCAGTTGTGCTTTTTGGTGGACGGCCTCAAACCCAACCATGCTCTTGCGTGTGCGAGCCACCAGGTCGTCCTCATCAGTCACGCGAATCGTAACTTCCCCAGTCCGGCGATTAGCACTGGCAAAGGATGGTCTCAGGGTCAGGGTGTCATCCTCGTCGTCTGGGTCGTATCTGACGTTACGCGAGGATCGAGCCATTGACAACCGCGTCCGCTCTGCGAGGGACAGGGTATGACGTGGTTTGGAGCGCTTGACAGGTGAGGGGGATGCAACGTCTATGTCCTTCAAGATCTGGTCTGCCAGCTCTTGTGTTGGTGATTTGGGTGGCTCGGGTGAGCTGTCTTCCCTTTCAAACGGAACCTCCGCCTCGCCTTGTTCTTCCAGGGGCGGAGTTGCAATGCGGTTAGGGATCGCCTCCGTAATGTCGTCTTCGTCCGGTAAAGGGGGGGTCGGCGGAGGGATAGCCAGTTCATCTTGCGACTCTGGCGGTAGTAGCAATGGGCTAGGTAGCGGGGCTGGCAGGTCAGAACTGCTGGTGCGGGAAGAAATGCTGATGGCGGGACGTTCGAGACGTCTGAGATGGGGTTCCTGCAGCGACGGACGCCGGGGTAGATTGTTTGTTCCATGCAAATCGTCCTCTAATTCGCTGAGTTCTGAGATGGTCTCGTCTCCGAGGCTTTCTCTCGTAGCCAGAATCCCATCTGGCTTCTCATGTTGGCGAGTCCGTGGGCCCAATGTCTCGGTGAGCTTAACCACAGGCAGAGAGCCTACTTCAGCCAATTCTGCCAGACAGTCATCCAAAAGATTGGAGTAATTCCTTGACAATGAAGTGCTCTTCTTTGCAAGCTGCCTTTTCGGGCTCGTCTTTCCCAGATGCAAGCTCTCATGGGAGTCGAATTCGAGGTCGATACCACGTTTTGCTCTCGTTGGCTGTGACATCTTGGACGTACTGGCTTTGCGTCGTTCGCCGAACATGCCGGCTCGGAATTCCTGCCATCTCGCGAGTCTCTCCCTCTGCGTCCTGACACGGTCGTCCAATTGCTCCAAAAGCCCTGTATCGTGCGTCTCCAACTCGGTAAGTCGGCCAGACTCCAAGCGCCGCCAGATTCTGTCAAAGGGGGCCGACAACAGGCCATCCTTGCGGGCGTTGGAGTCACCGTAGAGAAGAGTCTCCATCCATTTCTCATTCCCAGCCCAGTTCGTTCGCACCGTCCTCCAAGTATCCGACCTGAGATTGTCTGGTAGGTCTCGCGCGCTTGTTATTTCTCGAGCGGATTTGATTTCCTCCTTCCTCCGTGCAATGCCTTTCTCCTTCTGGCTCAACACTTCAGCAAGGTCGCGATATTTTTTCCTGGCCTCATTTTTCTTCCGCATAGCATTGGTAATGGAGGCTCTGTGAGCAAGCGCAAGAGTCACAAGCTCCGTCCGTTCGGCACTGTAACCCCGATTTTCTAACGCAACTTGCTGGGCGATGGCTGGATACTCGTGCTCGGTTTCTGTCACTTCGGCCACCATCTTTTTCAAAACAGCGGACGAGAATACGGCAAGAACTTCTTCCAATCTCTCCCCTTTGCATTCATCTAGCATGGTCTTGCGAACCACGGCGTCTCGTCCGAGGACTCCATTCTTCTTGGCCTGGTCGAGGCTTCGCAGGAGGGCAGCTCGTAGGTTCATGGATTGAACATGGTCTCTGGGCGGAAAGAAGGGTTGAAGCTTCTGCAAACCACCAAAGATTAGCAGAGTCCAGGACACACGCTATTTGCACATACATTCCGCGCCTCTTCCGGGTCCCAGAGCACAAAGAGCTGGTAGAGAGTCCATTCTACGCAGTGGATGCGCTTTTTCTGCACAGAGAAAGTCTGCGCATCGAAGTCTGGCCAGTCTGGGAACGAGGTAAAGTCCAACAAGCGAAGGTTGGTCAAAAAGAGGGAGGCATTGGTGGTAGGCGCGGTACTCGTAGATATCGAGGCGTTGAGGGGTGCGCTCAGGGTCTTGGTCGACGGGCCCGATCGCGGTTGGCGTGACCGTGCAAGCAGAGAATTGGGTGGCAGAGTCGCCATGACGACATTTTGCTTTCAAGAAGCGGCCTCGAAGAATCAAAGTTGACTCTTGTCTTGCGTCTCCCTTCGGATGGAGTATAGGGGGGATGTCATCTACGCAGGCGCGTGTCGCATTGAATCGGTTCCAAATGCAGGCAGCGCATTTGTTGTGTTGATGGTGGGGAGGAAACGGCGGTGGAGGGATCAGCCCAGCCCAGCAACGCTTTAGCGCGCCAGGGGTCCCCAGAATCTCGGTTAGCGGTTGACTGCCTGCGCTATCAGTGGCACGTCAAGGCTCCGCCTGGCCTATCTGTCCTCACCTTAGTCCACCTCGACTCGCCTTACACCAACTCATGCGCGGTGTAATTACATTGTCCCAGCTTCAAGGTGAGCGGACTGTTTCTTTTCTTTTACGAAGATGCTCGCTCCAGGCTCGCAGAGACTGGGCTTTGCAAACATTTCAGAGTCAGTAGCAGACTCGTTGAGATTTATCAAAGACATCTCTATACTTTACCTTATCGATCATCAATTAGAGCGCGGGTGTCTGTGCGTACAACATGGCGTTACTGCCTACCTATTCTCCGAGTATCCGTATCACTAAAGTTTAGACACATTACCAACGGTTAACCAACCAAAAAACAAACCCACCCAGTATATCGATGCTACACACAATAGGGTTCCCTCGTCAAGTACATAGCTTTTCTACTCCCGTCTTCATGCCCAGTCTCTAATTTTACTGGTGAACTTCGGCTGCGATCGAGTCAATTCAAGCAGTGGAAAGAGCTTCTCGGGTTTGATACAATGCAGCTTACTTTCTGCATCATCTAGATAGCTCACTTTCCCGATGTTGGAGTGAAGGGATGGGAGAGTCGAAGCACAGAGACATGTTCAGACAATAATCGTCGGCAAATTAGCAAAAGTTCAACCCAAGCAAACTTATAATTCTTTAACTCGACTAAACGAAGCGAAAGATCCCAAATGTAGGCAGATTTTGTTTCAACGGCATTCACAGATTCCCTCTCTAGCCCTATCCGCGCCTCCAGGCATCTTGTGCCTTGTTGGGATGACGCAGGCCACAATCGGCAGCAAGATGATTTGAATATCATCGTGAAGAAAGCTGAATGTATTTCCAATAGGTTATTGCCCAACTCTAGCTTCTTTTCGATCTTTATACAATGTGCCCTTAATTAGGATTACTGCCATAGCTGTTAGTAAACACATCCACAGAATACCACATCCTTTGTCAACTCACAATGTAGCCCCTGTGTTATCAGAACAGACAGCTTTCCCGGAGACGGCAATGCATTCCCCTTGTCCACTTGAAAGAAGCGTAGTGCCGTTTTCAAGATTAGGGTCAACATCAGTCCCGGCAAGATCTTGAAGAGCCTTCCTATCCGCGGCTTGCTGCTGTCGGCTACCGCCGCGCTGAGGCGAGGCCGCAGCAAGGCCGAAAAAAGCGATTAGGGTCACTGAGGAAATAGAGGAGAGCTTCATGATTCGATGTTTTAAAATGCGTGTTGAAATGTAACGGTAGATTTCGAGGGTTCAGTGTTAGGAAAGAGGATTGGGCCAGCCGGAAGGTTAATCGATTGAACTCGAGCGAAGTCTGAACTTTGGAAATGAGATGCTCATTTCAAAAGCTAAATATTTACTTTTCTGCTCTACCTGAAGCCTTTATATGCATTGCGTGAACCAGGGCGTGAAGCTCATGTGTTGTCACAAATGGGATGACAGGCCGGTTTCGCGGTTGTCTCAAACTTGACAGGCGGCCCCTAGCACGTAAGGGTGAACTTGACTCCTGCCACAATCTCGAGACAGGTCCACTCCAAGCGTACCTTAAGATCATCTTTCTTATACTAAGGGACTCATAATAGAGACTAAAAGAAGTAATCTTTGTGCGTAGCATGGCTCCTCAAAGCAATCGCCTGGCACTTGGAATCTGAATCTCCTAGTTTGGATCACGACTTAGGTTTCGCGAAATGGAATGCTCATCTTGACACAGGCAGGGGATGCAGAATTAAGGATGAGAAAGCCGAAGCGGGGTAGTTCTTCTAGAATATTTCTCCATGTGAGAGCGGCCTTCCAACTAACCCCAGTTGCCCTTACCGACGAAACTGATTCAATGCAAGCATCAGACATGGCAACATTTGCCAAAACCAATTCCCAATGACCAGGTTAAATATCATATTCAAAGAAAGCGATAAAGAATGTTTGAATTCAATGAGTCTAAGCATATTTCAGTGTGGATTTTAGAATCCCTTATCTGGTCTTGTAATCGATTGGATTGCCATCAGCTTTCGGGCAGAATTTCCGTGATGTTGCTCTTGGCAAGCTTATCAGTCTCGTCCAATACTTGAATCAGCCCCTCTTTCGCAGAAGTGTGATTGTGACCTTTAGGCTGAGCCATTCCCATATGTTCCATAGTCACACAGATGACAGACTCCATCAAGCGCAGTGCCAAAGGTCCTGCAATTCCAACATTGTAGAATGCCGGGGTTTCATTGACTTCAAGCAGCCACGCGGTTCCGCTTGAGTCTATGAGAAAGTCCACCGCGAACAGTTCGAAGCATTTGTCCACTGTCGTGAACTTGTCCGCCATTGTGTGTACAGCGGCTCGGAACAGCTCCGCGGAAACGGCGCAGATCTGCTCAAAGACGTGCGCCTTCCAGTCACCGGGCAGTAAATCATCTGGAACATCCCAAAAGTCTCTCATTGACTCTCGATTGACAAAAATATCTTCGTCTTGAAGGGCTGTGTTGGTAAGAGAGGATTTGAGGCTTGGGTACAACCAGGGCGGTTCGTAATCTTCTCCGGCAAGAAGTGCAAGCAGTTCCTTGAAGACATAGACCTTGAGACGGCCTACGGAGAGAACGTAGGCTCGAGCGTGCCACTTTCTTTTCTCTATCGGCGGAATAGAGACAACATATTGCTGAGCGACGAACTCGCGCATCTGGGCTGACGGAATACGACCGCCTTCCTTGAAAAGATACTGGGGCTTTGGGCTTCTTTGGATCGCTTCCAAGTTTTGCTTTAGCGACAAGGCGCCTGTGGCAGTAACTAGTACATCAAGAGAGTCTAGACCAGGTGTAGATAGTGTTGGCGAGAAGTCCGGGTCGCCCTTTTCTGAACATGGGGTCGTATCTGGGAGAGGTTGTTGACTCTTGCATACCAGGATGCTCTCGTCCTCTTCTTCAACCTCGTACTCTGCAAGCTCGAGATGATCGGCAAGCTCATCTACTGTGCTAAACAGTCTGATGCCAGCACCACAGTCGACCATTGCCGGCTTCATAATCCACCAGTCGCGTTCTGATGGGGGCTTGCTCTCATTTGCCTCGAGTGAATACAGGAGCGAAAGGTCGTCTGCAGCAGTCAAAGACTCCTCGACATACTCGGCATAGTCTAACGATAGACGGACTGTAGCGGGCACATGACTTTTGAGGATGCTTTCTGGTCTCTTAGCTATCCACAACTCCACGACTCTGGCAAGATAGTCTTTCCGAGCCAAAGCGTCGCTGTTCGGGTAGGCGTTGATCAGGCTCGTGGTCGCTGAGTTCAAGAGTTTAAAGTTCCGATTCAAGGCCCAACCATCACAAAACTGAAAGACTGTCTTGGAGTTGGTCGGGAAATTATCGAAGTTGTCGATGAACTTGGCATCCGGCGCGTGCGTTTGGATGTAGGACTTGATGTGTTCCGAGAGCCAAGGACTGGCTGGTTGGACATACGCGTACATTCTGGTTGAGCCTGGAGAACAGTAACAGCATGCTTTGGTGAGAGGTTCGAGTCTCTTCTTAAGGCGATGTTGTTGACTTAGATGTCGTATGGTCGGGGACAGACAGTTAGATCGTGGCTGCGGACCTGTGATGGAGTTAGACGTCATGAGGAAACTAAGAATCTCTTGTGTGATCCATAGAACCCTTTAAATCCAACAACCAGTGGTTCCCCAGGAGTTAAGATGCCTCTCGTCATCTAATCATCTGGAGAATCGTAGCATCGTTCACCAAGTTAGAGTGGCCAAGAGGCATGCCAAGCGAGAACGCGGATTTCCATTACCTAACCTCTACTCTTGCGGTTTCCATTTGACATAACCAGCTTTATAAACGTAATCCAAGCCGAGCTCACTCCGAATAAAATCAATACATTTTTGATCCAGCTCGATGACTTCAGTCGAGTTGCACACTTTGATCCTTGCGCCCCCCTCCTTTGAGTGTGGTCACACAAACAGCATATACTTCAACTTCACTCCGAAGAAACGTAATCGTGTTTGGTTCCCTCCAATGAAAACAGATGATTAGCTTTGACTTGGAATGAATATTAATGGATTTCGTAATGCACAACGCACAATCCGCCGTCGCGTTATTAAGAGAAACCAGGTTCTGGAGCATCAAATCAGTCGTGAGAGGCCATACGAGCACGCGATCTCATTCTGTCTAGCAACGCATGACAGCATGCTAAATCCTTGTTGTTAGTCATCAAGAAGCATTTGAAAGTTGCGGTGACTTCGAATTCGTCCAGAACTAAAACTGCGTGGAAAGGTACCTCAATTCGAACGCCAAAGATCACCAGGCACAGGCTTCGTCGTCAAATCCATTGATATCATGTGGATATTTGAGGAGTCTGCCAGTATTTCAGATCAAGTGCAAAGAACCCTTAGTAATCAGCATCTTACTCGTCCTTAAACATGATACCTTGAGCCCTGGATGATATTAAGGGTCGAGTCTAAAGATATTTGCCGAGAATTCCACACGTGCACGCCTACGATGCTGAAAGCTCAATCCGAAGACTAGCAATCAACCTTGGCTACTTGGCCCTGAATAGGAGCCAGACAAAAGCTGACTACAATCGTAACTACGTTCAGAAAGAAGATAATGGCGATAATGTGTGACTTTTTAGGTGGCATCGATTCTGAGCATTCATCGGAGGATTGAGCACAAAACCAAATATGCGCTGCTAGTCATCTTATAAGTATGATGTATCAGATTAATCTCTTATTTTGGATGGCCATTTGATTCGATATCTACTTATAAAATGAGTCTACCTTATCAGTTAACTCAACGAAAAGCTGGTCAAAAGTTTGCTGCAATATTTAGTTTGCCACCTGGATGTTTGTCAAGCTAGGACGGTAGAATGTGGGCAGCTCAAGTCTGCGCCGGCTGGAACATCATTGATGCACCAAGCAAGCTGCCCAGAACGCTTTCAAGGGTATTGGCGAGGAGTCATGAGATTCCGCACGAGAAGTAGAGATGGAAAGCAACGTCAACCTATAATTCGCCGATACCATTGGTCTCAAAGACCTATAGTGTCACAGAAACCGATCAACGACAATCAAGCAGCTGTCTTGAAGCGAATAACAATTGGCTCGAGTCTAACGGCAATGTCAAATTTCCCTTGAACGGCTAACTCTGATACCTGCACCTTACATACCGGCATTTCACAAATGAAGTACTATGCCCCTCTTCACCAGACCAGACTCTCATGAAATCAGATTCAACGCCACAGCAGCAGTCTTGGCAACGGGCGCACAGCGGCCTCGGCTCCTTCAGCCGGTCCGGTTTCGGTATTCCAGCTCACTGGACAATCGTCCCGAAGTTGAACAGGATGAAAGTCGAAACCGGAGAACCGCCTGGGGATTTGTATACGCTCCTCCGCAAGTGGGGAAGGTTGAAACTATAGGGGTTCGTTTCACCAATTTGATTTTTCGAAGTTTGTGTCCGTTCGCCTAGAAGCTGTAAAGGAAGGACCAACTAGCGTCGAGAACGTGACCGACACCTCCGAAGGCTGCCACCATGAAAGCACTTTGTATGAAGTGATGGTGGGATGGAGACACCGTGATTGAGAGGATTGTAAGGTATCCGACGTGACGGTACTATACATTGGATACTCACTCTGACAACCAGTACTCGACACGAGCTTTGGTACCTCTCTTGCAATTTCTTTTTTAACGTACTCGTATTCGTTCGACAAGTGAAAGGTGACAGGGGAGCCAAGAGCTACATCCGTGACTCCCAACGTCTCCTGCGAGTCCATGGCATGCATCGCAGTTACATCACAAAAGATGAAGTCTGACAAGTTAGCAGTAAGAAATTTGAATACTATGACAGACGGTCTCAAGCAATCTCATATCAGCGTAGCATTGGTTCGAGCGACAGTTGAGGATGAAATGAAGTCCAGATGGAGAGGAGTGAATAGGGGGCAAAACGAGCACTTCTAAGCACGGAGACTGATGGGCCTATGAGGCCATCAAAGAGTTCCAATCAGAGACAGCCTGACGCTTGATTGGGTTGCGAGGCCAGAAATAGAAGCGGCAACCAGGTTATCACCATCAGTCGTCGTCTCAGAAGCCGCGAGACAGCAAGAGACTCATACCGCAAGCGAGCTTACCCGGGAAATGGCTGCTGTGGACGAACGTTGCACGAGCTTTCTTCATTGCCCAAATCATCTGAACTGCTCTCTGAGATGGCACCGCAAATTGACAAATTGCTGTCAGACCCATTCAGCTCCGGAGTCTCTGTGTATGAGGTGATTAAGCATAACCAGGCGCAGTAGTCAACTTGCCCGTTCACTGTTGATATCATGAGCCCGGCTCAGTTTTACTCCACGACCCTCAAACTCGGTGTCGCTTTCTCTGGGATCATACGACGCGTTTGACGTTCGGTCTGAAGCCAAATGTGGGCACAGATGCCATCTGTTTGGTCAAGATACCGCCGCCAGCGAATGATGACAGGATATCGGTAATGCAGGTTGGAACGGACGTGCAGGAAGCTGAAATCAGCACCTTAAGGTATGTTGGAGAACACAGTGATGAGCAGAACATCAATTCAATTTGCTCGTTGTTAACGTTTTTACCAGTAAGCCGGAGTGTAAGGATGATGCGGTAATGAGATGGCAAGGAGTTGGTCAACAGCTAGGCCATCTCGTCTTCTCGACGCTCGCATTCGTCGAAGCTCGCCAAAGAAAGGGAGCGATGCTAGACAAAGGGACGAATGTCAGACAAGGGAGCGTTTGGGGCGAATAGGGTTAAAGGGGAGATGGGTTGTACTGACCAGGGACCTCCGCGTAGGTTATTTGGCAGAACCATAGGAATTGAAATCATTTCGTCGGATTTTGCACAGTCCTTGTAGAGTTGCCTGAAGGCAAACCCGGGCCAACCTGGCAACTGTGCCTGGAATCAGTCAACGACTGGCTTTGGTTCGATAGTTCGTTCTGCCCAAGGCCCCAAGAGCCTGAGTTTTGAGAAGGGACTCCGGAATGATCAAGAAGCCAGGGTGCGTCAAGGATCTTTCCATCGGCGAGCAGCGAAAACCTATTTACTTACCATTCAGGAAATAAAGGGGCGTAGGAATGGAAACCGGTTAGCCCCTCGAAGAGACGGCAGGAAACGGAGGCATCGTGATCCGCGCTGAGGCAAGGTGAAGAGGAATCTGAATGATGAGATCGATCGCCGCGGACCGATGTTCAGTTGGTCGGGGAAACATCAATGCCGGCCTACAAACGTTGCGGATTTCTCGCTAGCTCGGTGAGCGACAGGGCTGGAGATCGCAGGTGTGTGACCTTGCCGTCGCGGACGTGAGAAGCGCGCTAGAGGTCGCGGAGGGCGAGTGGCCCAAACAGCTATCCCAAGTTTGATTTTGCCGTTGACCGGCAGCGTCTGCCCAGGTGTACCAAGGTTGTCACAGAAGAGGTCTGAGAGACGTGTTGCGCCTGCTGGTGGCATGTCAGAGCGGACGGGAGCCACATGTCATGTCAGCCACCGGGAGCAGGGCTAGCCCATCTACGGGTGACGAGGGTCAAGTGGCGGGCTGTCTACCATTTGGGCCATGTCGCCATGGCTGTGCCGAAGGAGAGGTGGCGCTGAATCTAGAACCGTCTTGGCAGAGAAAGGTCAAGACAGAATGAGGATGGGAGCGAACCATCCCGAGGGGCTAGGGGCTAAAGGGACGAAAGCGAGATACTATAACGGGCAGTTGCACCGTATTGATTTGGAAAGAAGTTCAAGCAATTGTTCCATGGCAAGGTAGCATAGGGCATGAAGTAGCCCGTGTATAGTTGTGAGAAAAAGTCAATAGGCTGAACTGACTGAAGACGAGATGCGCCAAGGGCGGGTTATGTTAAAGTTGCGGGATGACAGATTGGTTTAGCATTGTGCCTGCATTAGTCGTGGATGATGGAGTATGGTCGGGGAATAAGAGAGCCACCAGGAACAAGCACAGGCACGGCAAGGAAGCCGAAAACGAAGGTCAGAAAGAAAGCAATCAACCAACTTGGTTAGGTAAAGTAGGACTGGCCCAAGCAGAGACAAGACTACTGCCATGCACAATTAAGCATATTTGTTTGATGACGCGGAGGAAACGTGTACGTTGTGCACACACTTACACCTACACTTCCATGTACTCCGTACACACTTGCATCAACATGCTTCTGCTACCTTACCTAAGTATGCAAGTATGTAGATAATTACACGTACATCCATGTGCAGGACTCTTGGAGAGCCTATCAAGATTCGAGAGGGCGTTAGTTGGCTGTCCGCTGCCTCGGATGCCACGAGCTTAAACAGTCCAAGCTTTGCCTCTAAATTTGGTTCCCGTTTCAAGCTTCAAGCAGGGGGCCTCGGTACGTTGCTATCCTTGATTCACCTACAACCCCTGCCACGCCCACGCCTGGCTGAGGTGATGAGATCTGCTGCCCCCCTACTCCGTACATGGTCTCCGAGGTATTCTTACCGCCGTAATTCTCCGAACACAAACGCTCGCGTCAGTCTCAGGCCGGGCCTGCTTCTCCGTGTCTTTGCGAATCCTGCTTGTCTTACGTTCTTACTCGCAGAGTCACACTAGCTCCTAGCCACCACGTTGAAGAAACAACTGTATCCCTCGCACGGCCTGACGTAACTCGGACGCTCTTCCGCTCTCCTTTGGTCACACGGCCACCTCAGGTCAGACTCATCGTTATGGGGAAGGGGGAGCACTGACAACCACACTGAGTTGTCTGTCATAACACACCACCCATCAGAAAGGGGAGCCACAGACAGAGAGCGTATCTACATCACTTCTGGTTGACATACAGCCCTCCAAGCCCGCTAGAAAGCTTCCATTGCTGCAGGCCGCGTTCTACCGTTTGCTCCTCGCGTTAGTGCAGGCTACAACGGCGGGATCTTGAGTCGATCTCTCATGCATTGCTTCGCTCGTTGTTCGTCACCACGCAGCAACCTCATCACCACAAGGTTTTCTGCTCACCATATACCCCTCCTTGATCCATAGAAACAGATAGTCGTACCATGGTGCCGACAGGCAAACCTTCCATTCGCACCACTCGGGTGCATATCGCGGACGCACATCGCGGGTGATCGCCCGCCGGAGGAACACGAACACTCCAAAATCGCTGTCCTAGGCTGCAGCGGCATCAGCAGATCTCATCTTAGGCTTATTCGAACACCCCGAGACCGTGTCTCTCTAACTACCTACTTACCCCGGATGTGGAGAGGGCTACCAGTCTTGAGATGCATCCGGCGCCAGCTAATCAAGCGTAAAACCACAATCACCGCCAACCATGGCATGTCTTCCGTAACCAAAGAGAAGTACTTCTCCCCGTACACACGGCCAGGGCAACGGCCGCACTTCCTGACTCCCAAACGTGGACCAGCGTTTCCGAGCCTGGACTTGGAGACTCTTGAGGCCTGCTTCAGGGCTGAGGCGATACAAATCCTTACTACCAAGACTTTTAGCCAGGGGAAATAAACGGGTCCTCGAAGGCTTAGCGGACGGAGCTCAACGGTTGCGCATCGAGAGTCCCTGTGAACATCACGGTAGATACTCCATTCCGTAGCGGTAGGCCACAGACGATCTCCCCTTCACCTCTGGCCTGGCGACTCCAGATCTTCCCTAGGTCCCAAGCATGCCAGTCCGATCACCGAAACCGTAAACTTCTTGGCTACCGTAAGAAGGCTGCATCAAGTTTCTGACTCTTGAACCAATCGGAACTCTGGTTGTCTCTTCTCGTGCGTCCCCTACACCTAAAACCTGACTTGCTGACTACAAGCTACGCGCGTGTTCCTGAGTTGGCAGAGTTCCATAGTCCCTGAGTTGCTGTGTTCTTCTCACATCGTCACTCAAATCAACTTCAAGGCACAGCACGGCCATTCGTCGCCAAGACCTCCACTGAAACAGATTCGCGAGCAAAGATTCGCCAAGCTTCATGCACCCGAGAACCTAACTTCACATCCCAATGATCCCACACATCGTCCCTCAATGTCTCTCCCCCTTGAGCCTCGAGCGTCGAGCTAGCAACCCGGCAGCACATCGACACATCCTCGCGCATCCTCCACATCGCGAGCCCCTCGCCGCATATCCAAACTGTACATCACTCAAATCATTCCGTCTCCTAAACACGCCGTACACCACCAAACACGCGCGCGCGCAGCAACTACCTTACCAAGGGCAACGAGGCGCAGTAGCCCCAACCCATCCAAGCCTAGCAGCACCCCCAGGATCTGTATGTGGGCGGGTGGATTCTCGGGATGCTTCCACGTCTCTCTTTCTGGAAGACGACTCCAGCAACGTAGATGCGATTTGCTCTGAGCTGCCTCTTGGCGATCCGTTTGTGATGCTTCAACTTCTAAACCCCAGCCTCCTTCGTATCGCATGTCCACGCTTACCGTCCAGTGACCCGCCTCCGACGTCGCCGTGGTCTTGTCGTCCCAACTTCACCTGGTTGAATCACGGTGAAGGGTTTTCACAATTCCAATTTCCTCGCGTTCAGCTATGAAGTCAATCAAAGGACAGAATCCGAGGTTCACACGCCCCCAGCCAGCCCACTCACGCCCCTCCTCTTGTTTCCCTATGCTGCTTGAGCCGACGCGATACCGAGCCATGCTTGAGGTTGACTTCGACTGACGGCTTCAAGGTCCTAGCCATTGGGAACACACTGACACTGACGAAGGGTTGCAGGGTGCAAGGTCTGATCGGGGATGCAAGGTAGGCCGGCAAGGGCGAGTCTATGTCTCTCCTTGCCGCTAATGTACCTCTGTGTACGTATGAGCGCGCGTGTATGGGAGGAGGAGAAGGAGGTGAGGTTCAGCTGAGAACAGACCCTGGAACCTCGTCGTCTACATGCTTGCTTGCCCACCTGCACCGCACTGCTTCGTTGCTTTGCTTGCTACGACGGTGGTCCAGCATGGAACGATCTGATTCCGAACCTCCCACCCAAAATCCGTCCCATCTCAACCCAAGGAATTTGTCAAATTCGTCTCCCCTGACTATGATATGGAATGCCAAGCAAGTCCAGTCGAGACCTTCTATATAACAGTCCCGTCCACACCATCACGTCTAACCTTCTTTCCTACCTCATCACACAGCATCAACAAAGCAAGCCTTTCACTTCTTCACCCTTTCCACTTTCCTTACCTATCTCAGCCCCGGTGGCTCTTCACGAATAGGATCTCTTAATCTCTAAAAACCAACTCCGATTCAACCTAGTTCCCTCAAGCTCGAATCTCTCATTCAAAATGCGCTCCCAATCGCTCCTCGTCGCCGCCCTGGCTGCTACCGTCTCTGCCCACGGCACGCTGATGTCCGTCGAGGGCGCCAACGGCGTCACCATGCCCGGTCTCACCAGTAAGCTTTTACCACTTTCCTGAGCAACATGGTTTGCTCTTCCACACACCTACACATGAATAACTAACTCACTCACCTTTCAGTCGCTGATGGAACCCCCCGTGACTGCTCCTCCAACGGCTGCGGCTCTCAGGCCGACACTGCCATCATCCGTGACCGCGAGATCGCCTCCGGTGAGGTTGGCCCTCTTGGCCGCACTCAGGGCAACGGCCCCGTTGACGCCTCCGTGATGGTCAACAACTTCATGGGTGGTGCTGCCGCCCCCAAGAACAACGGCGCCGCATCTGGCACTGGTGTCGAGGACAACATCCCCAACATGAAGCGCGCCGAGCTCTACGCTCGCCAGGGTCTCGCCGGCCTCTTCGGTGGCGGTGGCAAGAACAAGGGCAACAAGCAGAGCGGTCCCCCCGAGGCCCGCGTCGCCGCCACTGCCGGCATGGGTGCCTCCCAGGGCATGCCCACCGCCGCCGATGATGGCACCATTTCCATGACCTTCCGCCAGATCAACCAGGATGGCGCCGGTCCTATGACCGCCGATGTCGACGGCACCTCCGGCGGCACCAAGGAGGAGGCATTCCAGAGCGCTCAAGTCACCACTGACGTCCCGGGCCTCGGCGTCCAGGGTCTGTCCCTTGCCACCAACACCGACTTCCCCATCAAGGTCCAGATGCCCGCTGGCATGACCTGCGACGGCACGGTCGGCATGGCCTCCAACGTCTGCGTCGTCCGTGTCCGCAACGGTGCTGGTGCCGGCCCCTTCGGTGGCTCTGCTGCCTTCACCCAGTCCGCCGCCGGCCGCAAGCGCGCCATTGCCTACCGTCTCAAGAAGCGCATGGAGCTCAACAACCGCGCATAAGCGACTCGTCCAGCGATTCTTTGATGAGGATCTTCTCGGTGTGTCAAACCTGGGAGTTTGGAGGACTCGATCGACGCTGCAGGAAGTCAGGGACTTCTGAGGCTTGGTGGATTCCAGACTTGGGTATAGAGCTTTTTGGAAACGGCCGTTCTTTATTTCCTACATACTATTTTTCTTATTAGGTCGTCATTTTTCCATAGGCAATTGACGCCGATCGGAGTTTGAAAAACCTCTTCTACACTCGCTGTGATGTGATCCTGTGTGATAATGTCAACATAACAAACATTATAATTCGTCAACCTGACAGTCAGACCTCTTCACCGATACTTCCATCACCCGGCAAGGCAGATGCTTAAAGTCGAACAGACAAAATGACCCGAGGACACTAATCAGGCAACGCTTTGAGGCAAACACTGCCCTCGTCCGAAGCTGAATAGACTTCTGATGCACAGGCCATATCCCTTCTGCTCGGTCTTGCAATGACTTGACACCGGACTTGTGTCAGGCGGACAGGAAACTAAACACTTTTGACCAATAGCGGTGGAGGAAACGTTGTGGTTCTCTTGTGAATTTGATTTTGGCCTGGCCATTCGCATGCCTCTCTCGGCCATACATGTACTGAGAAAAAAAGAGATGGACGGGAGGTGTCTATTGCAAGAAACGAGATGATAGTCAATCATTCAACGAGTATTCTACCCACATGACGGACGCCCTTCCCCAGGCCGAAGATCCAATCCTCGGCCGCCAGGTTCACTCCATCCCAACGCCGGATTTTGATGCTATGCCGCCAGACTGTCATGTATTATAGCGGTGCCTCTATGTCTAGGCTGCTGCCATTTAGAGTGTAACGATGCGAACAATTGCGCAGAAACTGTCTGCGTTGTTTACGGGTAGAGCATTGATGATACACCCAGATGTTATGCTTTTGCTGAATCATGAAAGTGCGCCCCTGTGGATGGAAGCTAAGGAGAAAATCACCATCGGCGACTTCGATGCCGGGTTAGTAAGAAGAAAAAAAGAAAACAAAAACGATATGCATTGAAAGAAAACTTACCTGTAAGCCGAATCAACCTTAGTGACGCGCTTACGCATCTTCATTCCATCCGGCTTGCCATCTCGGTCTCCCTTGGACTTGGGAGCAATGCCGAGGAGCTCGGCCTCTAGTGCAGATAGTTCCGATGCATCAGAACCAAAGGACGCTACAGATTGCCTGGAAGCTGGACGTGATTCATCATGGCTGCTGTGAGATCCACGGCGGCGGGAGTGGCGAGAACGAGATCGGGACCGAGACGCCTGTCGACTATGTGGCCGACTGTCTGGTCGTGATGCTCCGCGATGAAGCATAGGTGGTGATGCCCCCCTTTCCTGGAAATTGTTGGTCGATGTCTGTCTGCGAACGTTCCGAGAGCTGTAGTATCCAGAATCCTGGAGTCCCGCGTCTTCAAATCGCCTTGATGGGCCGGCGTCTTGAGACTCGTCCAAGGACAAGAGGAGCGTCTGGCCTGGATCGGAATCAGTGCGTTCTGGTCTTTGGTGACGATAGCGATCCGTCGGTCTCGAGTCCTCCCTAGATCTCCGATTGTGCGGTGAGGCGGCATTATAGCCGGGAAGCGAGTCAACCTTGTGCCTCTTGTGACGATGATCCGCCCATTCGCCACCTTCTGGGACGGCCCTGGCTCGAGGGTTCTTGTATGTTGAATCGTCCAAAGTCCGCTTTCGATTATTGACCAGACGGTATTCACGGTTCTCTGGAGTAGGAGGTTTCGGAGGGAGAGACGGAAAACCTGGAAGGCGACTGGACTTGAACGTGCTGGGCCTCTCTCGTGGCTCAGGGGGTTGTTGAGGAGCACTTCCCTCAGGGCACTTCCAGAATGCTGGATCGTACTGCAACGTGACGAAGAACTCGGTTTCTCGTATCGGCCGCGAAAATTCCATGAGGTTGCCTTCTGTTGCAAATCGAGACTGAATCCAAGTGGCGTTCCACGCCGGAGGCAACACAATATTATCGTGGTATTCCTCAGGCCCCGGTAACGGCTTAGCAATTGGGTCTGGCTGGTGGGTTTTCTCTAGTTCTTTGAAGATCATCTCTTCTTCCCAGTCCCAATCGTACTCTTCATCAGCTTCCTGTTCTGAAGCACTGTTGATGTTTACGCTTTTAGGTGTGTCGCTCGCGACTGATGGCGCCTCGACGGCCTTTGATACGGCTTCGAGCTGTGGCAGTGTTGGCACTGGTCTGGCTTTATTTTCCGACTTTGGTCTAGGCTGCGAAGGATCTCGTTTCGACTGATTGCCTTGTTTATTTCGGCGAGAACGATCTCGATTATTATGCCCTTGGCGATGTCGCCCATTTCGGTCTCTTGGCGGCTGGTTCCTCTGAGGAGGAATTGGCGGGAGCCCCGGTGGTGTAGCACGTGGAGGGCCAGGCAAAGGAGGCGGGTGACCATATCCTGGAGGTGGCGGCGCCCATGAGGGAGGGTAAGTATTCGGTGTTGGGGGCGGTTGAGACCCATAGTGCGGCTGAGGATAGCCTCCCGGAGGTGTGGAATTATATGAGGGCGGGTACTGGCCGCCTGAAGGTGGAGGACCGGAATGATATCCAGGCCCAGAAGAGTAAGATGGAGGAGGAGGAGGAGGGTAAGGAGCACTGCCAGCGTATTGTGGTGGTGGTTGATAAGGAGGAGGCGGCAGTCCAGACGGACCGGGAGGCGGAGGCGCGCCATACTGGCCAGATGGTGGATAATGGTATGGTGCAGGAGGAGCGGGAGGTGGTGGGTGGGCACCCGGGGGAGGCGGCGGCGGCGGGGAGTATTGGGGATAGCCGGGGTAGTTCCCTGTCGGCGGGGGAGGGTAGCCATTCGGAGGTGGAGGATATGAAGGATATGAAGGCAGGGGGCCGGGGTACGGAGGAGCATGGGGTTGACCCGGGGGCGGAGCGTAGCGAGTGACGATCGGATTGCCGCTTGGTGGGGCCGAGTACTTGGTCACAACAGCACCCGGCCGGCGTCCGCCGGGTTGATACTCACCACCCCGGCTATGATGATCATGGCCACTCGAAATATTTTTCCGGGACAGTCCACTTTGGTCGAGTCAGCCATGATTCAAACTTGAAGCAAGGGACAGTTGTTGTCACGTCCGACAAGACTCTGCATCACGAAACTTACGCGGGCTTCGCTCTGACAGGTTCCGGGCAAGCCACAGCCCAATGGCCAACGCCGCCACAATTGATGCAGCTTGGCTCTTTCATGGACGGCCCCATTCCTGGGGCGTGGTCGGCCATGCTTGATGATGGTCGTGTCTTGGCTCTTGGATCGACGTACAGCTTTGGCCCAAGCCCAAGCCCGGAAGGGGAGATCAATGAGGGTGTAGGGAGTGTTACCGTAACCAAGGTAACGAGAAACTGGATAGCATCTATGAGCTGGGAGTGGCCCGGTAAGAAAACAAGAAGTAGAGAAGGGTGAAAGTATCCGTATACTAGTAGCAGAAATGATTCGGATGAGGTTGCCAACACGAGCTGGATAAGAGAAGACTTGATATATCAGAAGGTGCTCGGCAAAGAAGGAGAAGGAGAGTCAGAGACGCAAACCTTGGTGTTCGGGCTGCGCTTACAGCAGGTGAAGGAGATGCTTGATAATGGGCGAACCCAGAACAGGTAGTGGCGGATATGAGATGGTCTCTTGATTTGACTGAGACACGAGATGGCAGGCAGTCTATTGATCAAGGTGACGATGCCTCGAAGCCTTCAAAGGTCTCTAGTGAATGCGCCTAGGCAGTCTGGAGTGGCGCATCGCCTGCTGATGGCCGAAGTATGGAGGGAAAGGTGAGATGGGTTGGTAATGAAAGCCGTAGTCCAACCTCCAAAGTGAGGGATTTTGATGGCGAGGCCCGAACCAGGCGACTATCGTGGGCTTTGTCTCATTCCAGAGAGGGCAACTGGGATGAGGTTGTGGGAAAGCGCGACGAAGTTGACCAAAGGACGGAGGTTGCGCGCCCAGGCTCAGGCGTAAAGTGGGGCAAATGCACCTGCCCAGTGAGGCACAGCTGAACACCCACGGCAACTCCTTCCGCGCAGAAGGCTGAAAGGGGCCGGAAATTCATCGGGCCGGATGGGGCATGCTTTCTTTTTTCGCAAGGCAGGTGCCTCAGGGCAGGACAGGACGGCAGGAGACACGGTCCAGCCAGGCTTAGACTCGAGAACATTGGGAAGAGGCAGTAAGTAGCTGACAGACAATGCAGCTTGATTTGCTGCATGTCGTACGGATGCATGTCTTGTGCCTTGAGGGGGGCAGACTTCGACGTGCAGCCTGCAGCATCAAAGAACACACTGCTGGTATGTCATGCATAAGTAGTGAAGCAAATAAGCACTGTCTTTGTGCATCCAGATCATCTGAGAAACTAGGATCTAGAGGGGCAATATCTGACTGCATGACAAATCTCATGGGACATCTGGGACTGGTTTTGTCTTCAAGTCTCGAGGTTGTCATGAGCCAGATGTTGAGGAGCTCGCATCTGCTGTCATTGGGCTAGATTGGCAGACCATGATGCTATGCCACGCTCAAGGGCAATTTGGAGCTGTTCGAGCGAGGCTTGAAAAGGTAGAGATACGAATACCTCAACTGGGACCATCTAGATGCTGTTCCATCGCGCATACGGAGGCGCAGGGCATCTGAGTTCAACCAGGAGCAAGATGAAACGGTCAAGACAAAAAATGAAAGAAAGGCTAGGTATTCTAGATTCAAACGGAGACCAAGGTAGATAGACGGGCGCGACATCCAAGAAGACCAGCTGGCAGACCAGAGAGATATCGGTGCCTGAGAACTTGAGGGAAAACCAAGGTGAAGGGAGAGTGTGGCTGCTTTTCTATGACGATCCGGATATCAGGTGCTGTTTGAACCCTGGAGACGGTGAGGAATTGATCTGAACGGACGGGGTCGGCAGCCCAGCATCTCTCAGTGTGTGAATGATAGACGCGTCTGAAAACAACCAAGGAAATAAAGTATCGAACTACAGTCCACTGCCGGGGCTCGCAATAGCAACCAAGATTCTGTTGTCTCTCTGGAAAACGCAGACCCAAAGCTGCCGCTGGCGGGAAGAAATGACAATGAACGGGGAAGCTCGTCGGGCCGGTGAAAATGGGACGAGTACCATCAGAATGGTAGTGCAGGTGATTTGTACAGACGCAACTGCGTGAGGTGAGGAAAAGAAAAGGGCGCACCCGGCATGTCAACCCTGACGGAGGGGTGGGAAGGTGACTTTATATGAGCCCAGGGCAGCCGTTGATGGACGCGCCCCCCCCCCCCCCTGCTGACCTGGCGAGTCTGGGGCTTCCTTGGCCAGTAGTGGCCCTCCTACCCATTTATCACCTTGCGCCGTGGTGCAGTCCCAGCGCTTCTGCGGCGTTTTTGCTGAGGTAGGGGCTTTGTAGCGAACAAGAACCCCCTAAATTATTGATGTGTACGTAAGCGCCTTGAGCCTGCCGTGTCTGCCAACTGCCAGGTCTGAATGCGGGGCCGTAGCATGTGACCGAGCCCAATCACATCCCATCCTCCATGTCACTCTGCCTTAGGTAAGCACGCGGTCAGGTACGTGAGTAGGTGGAAGTGTCTGATGTTTGGATGGGATTTCTCAGCCGGGCCCGAGCTTGTCCCCCGGCTGCTTCCAATTTGAGATGGGCGTCGTCTGTCCATTGCAGCATGACGTCCCTCGCTGCCCGCCGTCAGAGCTACCACCCATACCATCCCAGAAAAGAATGTTCAACTGCGACTGAAGAATAAGGTCCCTTACCTTACCTTGCCTTAGGTAGCTTACCTCACCACGCTCTCTTTCCGAGGGCATCGCCACGGCTTTCCTTCGTTCTCTTCCTCTCTTGTGCCATGAGCGACTGGGTATCTTGAGCCACCAGTCCTTTTTGACGACTCAAAGCCCACCCAACACAGGCGTGCACTATTTACCCTACCCCCCCCCCCCCTTCTCCCCCATCTTTCGTCGATTCAGCCTGCGCTTCAACTCGTCCACTTTGTCCATTCTGCCGCCGCGCGCTTCCAGCTCGCATGTAAAGACACGTCGTCCTCGATCATGTTACTACAACCACGAAGCTCCCCAATACACATCGCCCGCCTCTTGAGTAGAAGTGGTCTCCGACGACCTGCTTCTTGAACCGCCGACCTTTGCGACAACCCTTCGCTGTAGTCCTGCTACACCTTTTCCACCCCAAAATCAACTAGATACCACCGGCCTCACAGCTGCTGTCGCATAACACTACGTGAAAGATGCCCGGGCTCCCAGGTAGGAATGGCTCTTGTCCCCCAGGTTGTGCAGTTTCCCTGACCACGATGTGCTGCTACAGCTTCCGTCGACCTCGACGAGTGCATCTCGCGCTTATATAAGAGGGAACTTCTCGCCGAATCCGTCATCGAGGCCATTTGCGCCAAAACGAAAGAGCTGCTGATGCGCGAGAGCAACGTCGTTCACGTTCGCGCCCCCGTCACCGTCGTCGGCGATATCCATGGTCAATTCTACGACCTGATCGAGATCTTCAAGATTGGTGGCTGGTGTCCAGACACCAACTACTTGTTTCTGGGTACGCTTTGGATCAAAAGTTGGTAATACAAAGCCTGACTGACTGGCTGCCCAACAGGAGACTACGTCGACCGCGGTATGTTCAGTGTCGAAACGATATCTTTGCTTGTGTGCTTGAAACTTCGATACCCCAATCGCGTGCATTTGATTCGAGGCAACCATGAGTCTCGCGGCGTCACCCAGTCCTATGGCTTCTATACCGAATGTTCAAGAAAATACGGAAACGCCAACGTATGGCACTACTTTACCGACATGTTCGACTTTCTGACTCTGAGCGTGGTCATCAACGACAAGATCTTCTGCGTCCACGGCGGTAAGACAGCCTACATCTCTACGCGCGCGCCTACGCCGTTACCTACCCGTATCGACAGTTTGCTAATTTGTATGCTCCAGGCCTCTCCCCATCCATTCACTCCATCGACCAAATCGTAATCATCGACCGTTTCCGCGAGATTCCTCACGAAGGCCCCATGGCCGACCTAGTCTGGTCTGATCCCGATCCCGAGCGCGACGAGTTCTCTCTCAGTCCACGTGGAGCTGGCTATACCTTTGGCGCACAAGTGGTCAAGAAATTCTTGGCTGTAAACAATATGGACCACATTCTGAGAGCACACCAGCTATGCCAGGAGGGCTTCCAAGTTTTATACGACGATCGCTTGAGTACAGTATGGAGTGCGCCTAACTACTGCTACCGATGTGGAAATATGGCTAGTGTTCTGGAGGTCAGCGACACCGGCGAGAGGTTTTTCAACGTCTTTGCTGCAGCACCAGAGAATGACCAGCATAAAGACATGCAGCTGGGTGGTGGAGAGAAGCAGGCAGATGGCAACTCCCTTCCCGATTACTTTCTGTAACGCGGCTGGAGTCTGCATTCGATGCCTAGACGATATGAGAAGGGGATGATTTATACAAGAGCAAGAAAATGGTGTGTGGTCTGAGCCTCGATTCAGGTGCATCACCGAGCTGTCCTTATGAAAGGTCATTATCAGAATTGCGAGGTGGACGAGACCACCACAATTAGAGTACATTGAAAAGGTGTCACGTCTTACGCCTTATGCCACGGGACGATCCATAGACGAACACTTGATGAGGATCCAAAGGGATCTGTATTTTTTGTAGCTTGGGCACAAGAGATGATGGCCTAGCAGAACGAAAAAAGTATCTGCCATCTAAACCGTCCAATTTTTGTTTTGTTTTTTGTAATCGTGACTTCATGTGCAATAACCTGTGTATGAGGTTGAGAGCAAAATTTGTGTGAGTGTGTGTTGTTGTATAGCAAGAGAACAAAAAGGGAATTTCCATCGGCCTCGCCCATCACCCATGTTTCCTGCGTGTTGGCCGCGACCTAGTTTGACCTCCTTGAATTCTCTTCGTGTTGGGAGTGAGCGAGTGAGATGTTGGTCCTGCATGCCTGCCTCGAGTTCCACCACATATGTCCTCCTACCCGCGATCGAGTTCGATTCTGCCGATGCATGCGTTCTCCTTCCGGGAAAGGGATCGAACTCGGAAGATGAAGTTGTAAGACGAGAGAGACAGGACAGCTTTTCGGGTCGATGAGGATGAGGATGACAGGGCGAGAGTGTAATTCAACCATAGGGGCCTCGTCCACTCTACCAGTCCTTGGCGATGTCGAAAGACCACTCAAAGGTCAAGTGAGTCTTCTTGTCATCATCGACGAAGCTGGAGATGGCGTTGTAGTGACCTCTGGCGAGCATGCCGGAGGGAGCGTCCTCCTCTTGGACTGTGCAAAGGGTCAGTATTGCTACATCAACCGACACTGTTTCAGGCGCGAAACTTACAGCGCTTGGTGTAAGTGGTCTGCTTGTCGGTGTTGGGAGCGTAGCTGCCCTAGGATAACGGTCAGCATCACTGTGATGAGATGAAAGTGAGGGGAGGGAAGACTTACCAGCATCTCAGAGTCCTTGCTGACCTTGATTCCCTTGCGCTTGACGACCTGGACGTACTGCAGACCGCTGAGAATCTCGTGCTGGACCTTGAACTTGGCAACCATGGTGAACTTGGCGCCCTCCTTGATCTTGAAGGGCTTGTCCTTGAGGGTCGCCTCAGAGCCAGGAGCAGCCAGGTCAATGGTGACGGGGTCGCGACCGGGAGACTCCATGGTCAGGGAGAGGATGATGCAGACACGGGGGTCGGAAGCGTCAGAGAGGTCCTTGCCGCCGCCAAGGCCGAGAGACTCCTTGTAGCGCTGGAGAGACTCATCGTTCTCGTCTGTGGTGCTGTTAGTCGGCCGGTCGTCTCTCATCTCGTATTGTTCCAGGTCCAAGGGCTCAAGAACAGCCAGACCATGTGCTGCCCTAACGACAAGGGGAGACATATAAAAGTCCCGAATCAGGTTGAGATCTTGGGTGAGCATGTTTTCTTGGAGGCGGGGTGAGTTGGGAGGATTGGGAGGAACAGGGTGTGATAGAGCTCTTGCTCGGTGAAGGTGTCTCTCCTCCATCATCTTAAATGACTGAGGACGCGATCCCGAGGGAGTCGAGAGAGGAACAGGGGGAACTTCAATGGAGTTCCGGTTGGCGAGGGCGTTATTACGGTTGCGCCTCTGCATCATGCGACGCATACCCTTATATAACGCCTCCATGGTAATGAGAGGGTATTACATGTAAGGTGTCTGTGGTATTGATATCGTAGTGATAATAAGGAGAAAGTGAAAATTGAGATTGGTGATGGCAACGGTGATGGTGATCATGAAAAAGGTGGTTGAAAGACAGCAAGGGTGAAGGTGAGGGTGAGTGAAGTGCGAGAGTGAGTGTGAGAATGGGTGTGGGCGTGGGTGAGGAAGGTGCAAGCAGCTGGGTGCCTTCCCTCTCCTGCTGGCTCTTTGGTGAACTGTGCCATGAGATGGATGTCGAGCATGCCACTTCCTGTCACCGAGGTGAGTGCAGAGATGAAAGAGGCTCACATCTTGCACACACCGATTCCAAGGCAAGGTGAAGAAAGGTGTGAGGGGCATTTCTGAAGGGACCCAGCTGGAGCTGTCTCGCCCCCAAACAGCAGCACCCAGAACTGAAAGAAACCAAATGGGGATCAAGAATCAATACAAAGTCAAAGACTTACCCATCTTCTGGTACTCAGCCAGACTCTGCTTGGGCTGGGAGAGCTTGTAGCCCTGAGTCTCCTCGGGCATGGTGTCCTCTTGCTCGTGGGAAGCCATGGTGATGATGGTGATGGTGGGGTAAATGTGGGAGCTGGAGCTGGAGCTTGAGCTGTGGAGGCTTGGTTTGGGAGCGGGTGTATCGGAGGCTTTGGGAGGAAAGTAGCACAGGTGTGTGATGATGCCGTAAATTGGAAGGCTGTGACAATGTTTACTCTGGAGGAGAGAAGTTGAGGATCAGGTAAGGTAGGATGGTAGTAAGGTCAGGGCGAATGGAGTTGAGGTAAGGCCATGGCCTTGTCCCCGGCCAGTCAAGGCGAGGCAAGCCGCAAAGCAACAGCGCACGGCAAAGGTCACCGCTTCCCGTTGCCCCTCATTCTGCTCAGGTCGGGCTGGGTCTGGAAGTCTGGGTCTGCCTTCTTCTCAGCCAGTGCCAGCCAAAAATCGACGAGGCAGGGGGGGGGGGGGTCATTGGGGGGAAGCGTCACCGCGTCAGGGCCAGTTGGGGGACTGTGGGCGCTGTAAAGTGGGCTCTGATGGATTCAGGACCGGCCTTGACTGGACGGGACGAGAGACTTCATTGGTCGAATTATCTTTGGGTCTGGACCTGCATTGATTGGCCAACATCTGGAACAAGATGGAACTTCACACACGAAACCAGGCACAATCACCAAAGCCCTCCTACCATCCTATGTATCTCCTCCCCTTGCAATTACGAAGTCAGAGCAAAGGCAACTGTGCTGACTGATGAGGCTGCTTTGCGATAGCTTTGATGAGGAAACAAAGATCAAAAGATCCAACCTCATTGAATGGAATCGCTGCCGCCCCTCGACGACTATCATGCCGTGCGACCTCACCGTACCACATTGCCCAAGCCAAGTACCCCGGGCAGGAGAGCCAAGTAGCTGTGTAGGTAAGGTACCTACTTAGATACCCAGATACAAATACCTACCATAGTAGGTTGCTATGCAGCTTTCTGCCCCTCCAAGTGTCTTCTGCAGCCAATCTCGATACGGGATGGGAGGATAAGAGGAGAGCATCCATTCATATCAACCACGATATTGCGCGTATCGGCTGGATGAGCGGTCTGGAGTGGTTCCTGATGAGGGGCACAATCGACAAGCTTCAGGAATCCGGTACTCCCCACTGCTCGAGACAGGAGACCGCGAATAAAGTACAGAATGAACACCCGCTTACTTCATCCCGCGCCCCTTTGCTTGAATACCTTGGCACTCAGGTAAGCACTCGCACCACCCAATGTGAGAATATCGTCTAGTAAGTCCGCGCTTGACAGGTGGCAGATGCTTCATGCGGGCCATCCATGAGAATGAGCTATCCGCACTACGTAGTGCGCCAGTGTTGAAGAGCTTTCTTGCTGGCAGCGGCATCGTTCCCGGAGGCCAGAGCTTCTCTTTAGTGGGTCTTGTCGCTGGTTTGCATTATTATGACCCAAGGGATTTATGCACAGAAGAGCAACGTGCATTTATGCAGTATCCACATAACGGTTTATGTAATGGGTACCAAGACTAAGCCGATCCCATCAGCATTCAGGCCATCTTAAAGAGCAGGAAACATCACCCATTTCCAAGTACCAGCTTGTCACGGTTGCGCAGTTCTAAATAGGTAGTTTCTGGCTGGTAAGCCATCCAAAATCCCAGCAACGAGAACGCCGTGTACCATATCAGCAAGCCTGGCACTGTCGTTGCTCTGGCAGCAGTGTCCTATTGTACTTGGTTCCTGGATCCGTCTTTCTTGCTGTTCAGCCTAGGCGAGATGAGGAACTCTAGAGGCTGACCATCGGCCTCATCTGTCTTAGGCACCTAGCGACAGAAAAGATGGACCTCCTATTGTGTCAACCAAACCCAAGACTTCCATGAGCGAGCACTCTTCCCTTATCGATTAGACTGCAGCTGCTGCAGCTAATACTGCACTGTGTAGGTAGATACTGCAATGCACGGGATGGGGGAAACGTGGTCGAATGATGGGCTGAAGGCGGGATAGCTGCAGTTCGCCCGTTGCCAGGCACAATCGTAGCCGGGTAAGGGCCCCCCGCGCTGCTTGCTCTGGTGCTGCCGCCGCTTTCAATCTCGGTGCAAGGAAAGGATGTCGACCAAGTTGAAAGGGGGGATATCCATGCATGGCATGCTGGAGAAGTACGGACACAGTACGGAGCACTCAGTACTCCATACCTTGGTGAAATGGGAGAAGAGACACTGGACCCTCTCGAGCTTGAAGAACCTAGAATCCTGTGGCCTGTGGCTCGTTTGTCTCCGCTTGGCTGGAGAATGCGAACGGCGCCCAGGGTGTCCAAAGCTCTGCGCGTTCGCGACGAAAATTGTTGGGGACAGACCGGGGGGCAGACTGAAGAGCTTCTCTGAGGAAACGTGTGCTCAATGGGACAGAAAAGTGTCAAAATCTCAAATTTCTCTCGCCTTGGCTTAAGAAGCGACATGGGTCACGCAACGGGTAAAGGCAAAGAAGGAAGGGACCGTCGCATCGATAATCTTCCTTCCCTCCTTCCTCAGGAGTCAGGGACTTTTCTTCCGACCTTGCGCAGCTGGCAGGATGTATCTATCCGTTCTAACTGCATTTCCGGGGAAAGCGCCGGGAGTGCTGGTCGTCAAATGCGGCAAGTGGCAGTCGCGATAGACAGGTACATCTCTTCCAGTTTTATAGTCTTGGGTAACAGAGGTATCCATCTATGTCGCATACTTCGTTCCAATAGTGCCTTTTACGTGCTCTTCGACCTTCAGGCTTCTCCCGCGTCAGGGTCACGCCGTCACGCTTCGCTTTCCGAACCCGCAGTTCCACCCCTCCCTCCAATCTTACCCAATGAGCAGGAGGACCCCCAAAGTTTGAGGTGAAGCTCTCTTTCTCTTACTGCTCTACTACTGCTGCTGCCACACGCTCCGGTGGACGAGACACGCTGCTGGAGACTCGAGTGGTGAGGTACCTACTGCTCCAATTTGCGCGCGCAAAAGTAGCCCAGCTTCAGGCTCTTCCCGTCCCGGGGCCGCCTCTCTTCCTTCCATTTCCTCCCCCATCCTCTCCTCCTCACAAGTCACCACCACCACCTCTCTCTCTCTTATCCCGCGACTCGTCCCTCCCTCTTTCCTTCACACCACCACTACCACACCTCACTCTCTCACACACATTCCCTCCACATCTTCTTTCTTCCCCTCGATCCATCCTTTGAGACAGCTTTGCCCTTTGTGCCTGTGCCCTTATCGGGATCGCTGTTCCCATTGCCTACAATCAATTATAATCTTTTTTCTTCATCAACCGCATCGCCAACCCACCCCTGCACCCTTTTTTTTTACGCGACAGACCCGTCACGTCACGTTGGCGCTCCGAGGATCCAACTCCATCGCCAGCTCCCGTCAGCTCCAACGAGTCTTCGGTAAGCGACACCTACCACAGACCTCACCATCATTCTCTTCTTTGCGCGCCATCTATGCGCTCCTACCTGCCCTCAAGCTGACGCGACCATTTAGCCCCTTCCTCCGATCGAGCCCATCGTCGACGCGACCTGGAAGACACCACTCCTCGATTGCCGCCAGCGCGCATCGCAAACTTCCTTTGAACGTACCCAATTTAATCGCCAATTTTACGCGCTCTGTCCCACACTTCCGAAATGCCTTCTGCTACAGCTCACGAGCGGCACCTGCCCGCAAAGCGCAACACCCTCATGACTGAGGATGTGCCCCGTTGTACGAACAATTGACTGCGCCTAGCACTTTGTGCTTGCTAACCAGACTCTAGACGATGACCTCGTAGCCCGTCGTCGACTCGGTCAGACTCAGCTGACGGCCAAGATGGTCAACCTGGCCGAAGGGGAAGGCGCTGCTCTCGGTGTATTCGACTATGCCCACCTCCGCGCTCCCTTGCCCAAGGGTATCGTCTCTGGCATCTTCAAGTCCAGCCCTAACAGCTACTTCTTGATGCGACGCAGCCACGACGGCTTTGTTTCTGCGACAGGAATGTTCAAGGCTACTTTCCCTTACGCCGAGGCCGCCGAAGAAGAGGCCGAACGCAAGTACATTAAGTCACTCGCTTCTACCAGTCCCGAGGAGACTGCCGGCAACGTCTGGATTCCTCCAGACCATGCATTGGCGCTGGCTGAGGAGTACGGCGTTGGGCCTTGGATTCGCGCCCTACTGGATCCCGCGACTATTGCCGTTTCCAACACCCCTGATAGCCCTCCTAAGAAGATTACGGCGCCCCCCAAGTACGAGCTTCTCAAGGCTCACCCTCAGCTTGCTCCTCCTACCCCGACTTCACTCCCTCGCAGCACTCGATCTCGCCGCTCAGCAAGCCCTACCAAGGCCGCCGCTGCCACGACACTCCCTAGACCTGTCCGATCGCCCAGAAAGCGCCGGGCCAAGGCCGACTCTGTTGAGCCTAGAGAATCTACGCCCACAATTGCCACTAAGCTGGAAGTCAACGGCGTTATTGAAGAGGACAAGGACGCCGAAGCGGAGATCAAGACCATTGTCAAGACTGTCGAGACGGAACCAGTGCTTGTATTTGAGGCTAGGGAAGAAGAGCCCAAGGCCAAGGTCATAGTTGACCAAGCTATCAAGACGGATGAGGACGGCAACGAGACTAAGCACACTGCCGTGTCACTAGAGCTTCCTCTGTTGAGCGCAGAGCCACCATCTGCCGAGGAGACTGCGCGTATGATTGCGGAGGCGAAGCAAATGGTCGAGGCGGCCGCCATCAAGTCAGAAGGCGTTGACAGTCCCAAGACCAAGAGCAAGCGTGGAGCCGAAGAGATTTCAAAAGGAGACGATGAGGATGAGGAGAAGGAGGTCGTCGAGGAGCCGCGGTCGAAGAAGGCCAAGACCACCGAGGTGCAGGTCAAGAAGCTCCGCGTACGGAACCGGGCTTTGTTTGGTCTGAGTGCCGTGTCACTGGCCGTCGGGTATGTATCTCTGATTTGCTCATTGCCATCTGGGACTGAAATCGGCTAACAAAATTTGCAGCGCATTCTCGTACTTTGTTGGTTCTTTCTGAGACGTCGTTTGACGTGTCGGGAGCATTTCGGGGGGCTCTAGGTT